ATAACTGGCCATGCAGATTTAGGCCAGTCTAGGCTCTGAGCGACTTTTTCAAAATGTGTAAAGTATTTATCAACATTTTTCTCCTGAAATTTAGGTACAAATTTGAGAAATTTTGAAGCGTCAAACCTATTTTCAAAATGTTGATGCATAGTAGCATGTTCATCAGATTTGCTTTTAGCTTCTATTTCAAGCCGTTTTAATTCAATTTCTTTTTGAATTTCTTGTTCTCTTATTTCTTTTTCAATTTGCATTTCTTGTTCTCTTAATCTTATTTCTTTTTCACTCTCTCTTTTTTCTTTTTCATTTTGAATTTCTAATTCTTTTTCTCTCAATTCTCTGATTTCTCTTTCTTTTTGAATTTCTAATTCTTTTTCTCTCATTTCTCTTTCATTTTGCAATTCTTTCTCTCTTATTTCAAGCTCTTTAAGCTTAATAGGATCAACAGGGTCAACATGTTGGGCTGGCTGCTCAGGCAGAAGTGTTTCTGCGACCAAATATTGAAAAACAAAATTTTTAATTGTATCCTTTTTGTATGAGCTTTTGACTGACAGGCCAACATGTTTTGCAATTGCCAGAAGTTCAGTTTTCTTTAAATCATCAAATTCCTCCAAAGAGGGCGCTTCTAAAAATGTCTCAACCTCAAAACTCATTTTTCAATTAATTGCTGTCTTCACAGTTAAAATTTACAAGTTTTAGATTTTGAATTTTGAAATATTTGAATTTTAGCTTGTTGTAGTTGGATCCCGGACGAGCCCCCAATTTCTGTTACGTACGAAAATAACAGAAAGTAAAAACAGCAATTAAAATATGATAACAATATATTTATACTTTGAAAACTAAATAATATAACAATAATATAAAGGAGGTTTAATACTTAAGTGATGTCCAATCAATGGTACGGCTTATTCTTGATGTCGATAAATGTCGTTGACGATCCTTGAGAATGATCCAGATCACGAAATGTTTCAATAATCGTTAATAGTTCTCCAATGTTTGTAATAATCCAATAATGTTTGTTGTAATCCTATAATGTTCGTATCCAATAATGTTTGATGATAATCCACGAATGTATATGATAATCCGTATATAGTGTGTGTTGTAATATATGTCCATATAAAGTCCTCAGGTTGTATGTTTGTAGTGTTATAAATGTTCCCACAGTAGGTGTCTATAATATTCCGCTAAGAAGATGTCCTTTTGATAAACTTTGAAATTCTGCTCTATTTAGTTCCTTTGAGATGTCCAGTTATGATGACTTAATTATCTGCTACTGAGTCCACTTTGCAGTTTTATTTATAGTGTGAAAGAATCATCTAGAAAGAATCTTCTGGAACTGAGACTACTTGTTGAGTTTTGATTGGACATCTCCAGTCACATGATTAAATTTTAATGAATGGTTATAATTTCTAGAACTATCTGGATGGTCAAGGGTTAATGAGTCATTCAGTTCAGTTCTGTTTACAAGATACAGTGTATGATGTCATTGTGACCTTGACCCAAGATCTCTAATGAAGATCAGTTACAGTATATGCATATTGATAAACTAAACTTAATGTGAATATAATAGAATATAATACTGTAACAACTAGCTTATGCTTACAGCACTGGTTAAGATAAAGCCTCAAAAGCAAAGCCTATGATCCACACTATTAAGATCAAAGCTTATTATCCCCAGCCTATTAAGATACTTAGTTAGATCACTTACTTACAAGCTAATTTTAAAATGGGTGTTAGATGAACAATGTTTTGATTGAAGTTACATTATCTAGCAAAACAGGCATGCAAATTGTGTTATTGTTGATGTTTATTAGATGACCAAGCACTATTCCCTCCCACCAAAGCATGCGCCACATTAAAAGCCTACAAAAGAAACTGACAAGTTAGTCACCAAAATAATCTCATAAAAACTGTTTGTAATTTTCATTGTTTTAGGGAAACAAGGGATTTCTATCTGTAAAACTTCATATCAACATATTTAAATAAACTTGGGGGTTGACAACTTAGAATTCTTCAAAAATACAACCTCGATGCTTCAAGTGGTTTAATTTGTATGGGTTTTCTATGTATAACTAACAATAACAATTAATTATATTTAACTAGAGTTTCAGAACACCAAAACAATGAACTCACAAACACCTTCAAAGGAGACAGGAAAAGGTTTTACCTATTTATTGTCCAATATGGCTTAGGGACCCGCATGATATCATTGTGGTGTGTGTAAGGATCCTCTAATAACAGGTTTTTGAAAAATTAAACCTTGCAATAAGCAGAGGTGTGAATTCCAAATTAAACCCAGCTGCATTAAGAGAAAATTCAAAATCATATTTATTTATTTATCAAAGTGCATATTGAAATTTTTTTCCAGATTTGAATTTGTTTTAATATTTCAAAGGTTCTTTATAATAGATATTTTGGTTGGGAGATTATAAAAGCTGGCACCCACCTCCAGTTTTCTCCAAAGCTTATCCTTAAACAGGCACAATTATACTATGTGTGTCCGGGTCCTGTATTACTATATGCAGGCTGAGCATGCAGAAAACAATCAGTGTGAACAGATGAACATGCAGCGGGGAAACAACATTTGTGTGATATTTTTAAAACTAAACCAAGATGGGTCTTGACTTACATGTATTTCCATCTAAAATATCACGCAGAAACTATATGACTTTCAAGATGCAACAAAATGCAAGATGAACAAAAGTAATAAATTCATAATTCATAATTTCATTTAAGTGAAGACCCGACACAGCTTAGTTTATAAAATATCACAGATTCAAAAATGACCATTGGTTCTGCACCACAAGCTCATGCCATCCACACCGATTGTTTTCTGGTTGTTCAGTGTGCAATAGGATGTGTATCCCATGTTAACTTTAGTGTCATGCTTTCTGGCTAGTTATATGTAGGATGAGTAATTTACATTACCAAGATACCAGGGATAGCAGTGAGATTTCACAGCATAAATTGCCAGAACATGATACATTAGCATTAGAATCAGTTATGCTGGCAGTTTATTGTTGAATCAAAGTTTTTTTTAAGGTAGAATTCTAGTTTAGGCTTGATTTTGAAAGGGTTTGCAATAATGTGGTCTCCTAAAGGGGAAAACCAGGTATATGGAAGATGGAACAGCCAAGAACAGTCAATTATGTCTGTTGAAAATGTCTGAATCACTGAAACCAGTAAATTTATTTTGATTTTGCCAATATCATGATTCCTAGGAAGTATCAAAGACCCAATTTTGGTACAGTCCTGTATGAAACCATAATGAATACAAATATGAGATCATATACAAGTATTATGTAATACATTTCAAGCAAACTTAAAGTAAATACTTAAAGGTATGATTAAATATGAGCAGTTGGATGTGAATTTAATTTCAAATTGACCAATAGTCTGCAATGCCCATGTTACATAAGACACCCAGGTGTATCAGTTAACTGAAGTTTTCCTCTTTTAACACCATTCAGACCTTTCTCATACACAAAGATAACTGTATATTTCTTAGAAAATAAGATATATTTCTTAAAATAGAAAATATTTAAAAAGTATAAAGATAACGTATTAAGATTGTTCGATTTATCAAAGTGCACGAATTGTCTTTGCATTATGATATAATGAGAGTGGAGTGTTCCTTTGTCTGGTACACAACAGTTGTACGTTTCTTTTGAATATGGCGACGTCGGGAAAATCTGAAATAATATAATATGAAGTGGCACATTTAAACTAAGGAGTGTTGTTTGCAACTCTTGCCTGAGAAGATAATTTGCGAAACATCTGCCTTACATTCACATCATAGTACCTAAAATAAGAAATAGTGTGTTTGCAATACTTTGAGTAGCAAAGCTGCAAGACAAGAAAGAGGTTATACGTGAAATATTGGAGCATAAATTATGTGCAAATTACATAACAAAGTCTTACAGTTAGGAAAATCAAAAAGAATGTTAAAACATAATGCAAAATCTTATGTTTGGAAGAATGTTAGACATGTCTAGAATGTCCCTGGTTTAACTGTTTAAGGCCTTATTTTAGTTACCCTTTGCATTCGTTTGACTTCACTTCTTAAAAGAGAGCTTCGTCTTCACTCTTTCAAACTAAAATAAACCTGTGAACTCACCGCGCCAATCAGTGTTCGTCGGCCAAATTTGACCGACGTTCTATATATGGTTATTCCTTCTGATGTCATCGTTGAGCCCGAAATTGACCGATGACATGCACATATTTAATTAGAACGCATTTGGCGTATGTTTCTTCAAGCTCGCCCATTGTAGGAAGAAAGGTCAGCGCGTAAGTCAAAAGTGATTTATTACCCAAACTGTCACCGGCACCCGTCGTGGGGGCGGGGCCACTAAACTGTAATATGGTCTCTACTAGGCAGAGTGTAGTTTAACTAGACTCTGCACGCAGGGTATATTTTAGTAAATGTTAATGAAACACAACTTATTATTGAGAGAGAAGTTATAATAGATGCTAATTACTAGCCACAACCAGACACTGCAATTAAATCAACATGAACAACTCTTGGCACAGGCGTTCGTTTTTGAATAACCTTAACTTCTGATTCATTAACTTGTGAAATGAAAAGACTTGTTACCAAATCAGAAATGATGATGGTTCCAAAAATGAGCCTTTGGGTCATTTGATGAAATGACATGTTCTTGGTGCATAACAAAAGACAAAGAAACATATGATAATTGATACACTGTAATGTAACAACAGACTTGTCCAAAAATGAATCATTAATCTCAAAGGCCCATGAATTCATATCAACTCAATATCTTCATCTCAGAAACTCTCAAACTCAAACAAATGCTAATATCTTGAAAATGACTGACAGGATTGTAAGGTCCATTGTTTAACACAAACCAGAATTAGCCCTGGGCATCACCATGTTTTATATGTCTCTGAATAAATGAACCAAAATATTGAATTCAGATCCATGTTCATTGTGACACAGTTTCTACTATATCTTGAAGAGATCAGAATGGTAAATATTTACTTACACTTTCCAGGCAAAGTCTCTCAAGAGGCAGCTTAGAGGAATAAGAAGTAGTCCCAGCCAGAATATACTGCAGCCAAACACATACTTGTCCTGCAATTACACAAACATTTCAAAACCAATCTAAACTGTTTTAAAAGGGTTGTTGCTACAGATCAACTGACTACATGTTATACCAGATATAAACAAAACAATGAAACGATTCTCATACTTTATTATCATCAACTTGGCTAACCATTAAATCAGCAAAACAATCTGCAGAACATAATCAGAAGTATGTAATTTATTAGAAACAATGCTAAGGCAGCTACAATGGAGGGTAAATCGCGATTTTTCTCAGAAATTTTCAGGATCACAATTTTCAAATATTCAATCGATTGATCATTTTCTAGACTCATTCAAGTTCTAGTCGATAAGCCGAGTCACTTGTTACACCACTACATATATTGTGCTAAAGGATGGAAGAACAGGTGGATGAGTTGGCAACTGCTTCCCATTTGAGCCAAAAATGATTAGTGAAAGGCTTACCATTCCAACCATCTCAGGTCCTATGTCAACTAAGGGCCAGATGTGACTGTAGATTGCTAGGAACAGGAACCAGCTTATTATACTTCCCCATATAGCAACATGAGACAACTGAAATAACAACATTATTACATAACTCAAGTTTAACTTCAGAGTAAAATGATTTACATTGTATTTTCGACATTTGAATTTGATGAATCTACACAGAAACATTACTACACTGTCATATTTGTGAGCACCCCAATAATCTGATAATGATTTCGCCACATAACAAAGGTGCCATACCATGAACATGCAGAAACAAGTCAAATGTCATTTAGACTTCAATTTTAAAGTACTCAATGCCAGTGTAAAACTTGACAACTTAAGGATTGTGCATTTTCTCTGTGGTCATCTTTAAAATTTACTCTACATATTAGCTAGATTTAAATTTTGCATATTTTTTTCTCGTACCTCTGTAGTATTAACATTTTGCCAGGGTGTGAAACAATATATCTACTATTTATAAGCCAATTACTAATACAACTTACCCATGTCCAGGCACTGGTCTCCAGCCCTGCCTTTAGACACACTGTAACTACGACATACTGAAACAAACATACAAACAAACATGCATTTGTACTGATTTTTTATTACTTCAAATAGGTCTTAAAATTAACCTTACAAGATGCTATTACTAGTAAAACATTTTTGAAACATTCTCGCCTTCAGCTATTCTATTTTACTCGACTACAACACCATGCCCATGAAAAGATGATACTTACAGTATATACCATATTGCCCAGGAACAAATAGTCCCCTACTTTACCATCTTTAAATGCTATGTCTGAAAGAGAAATAGGCATTAGAACAACACAAATTGAGTGTGTTTCTTGAATGAATTAGAATCTAAACTAAATCATAGCAATGTCACTTGAGCAAATAGATTGGAGAGGCCCTCATTGCATTCTGCACTTCACTACAATGACCATTCATCAAAGATAAGATCTAGAAGTTTTTATGTTTGTTCTGTATAGATATCTAATAGCAACTTTTTATTGTGCTATACATGTACTTCCTTACGGTCTTCCCACATTTTAGTAATTTTACTTCATTCAAGTTTTAAGTTACATGCATTCATTCTGACACTCTTTAGGAGAAATATGTTTATGAATGAACAACTACAAAAGGTTGTTACCCTGAGTGAGAGCTAACACAGGGAGCCAGAATAGAGCTATGGAATGATAAATGGAGTTGGCAATCCACATCCAGAACACCTGAAAGAATAATGAAATATGATTTAATCACAGGAACATAAAGTGGCAAATTGGAATGGGCAGAGGATACTCAAAAACCTTGATTTGCCATTATAGGACATCTTGACACAATCTGAATATTCAATTTCAATGGGTTTTCTCATGGAAGCCTAATATGTCACATTTATTTGCATTAAGACCAATATTTTGCTGAAATAATCCCTAAGCTTAATAGTTTTCACTAGCCATTTGGGATACTTAATCTACTTGGTTGAAGGTGTCTCTCAAACAACTAAATGTCACTTGTGTCCCCGCTTATGATAATGACATGTAAAAACATACCTTCACATTGAAGAGCTCTGCATTTTGCGATGACTTGTATAAAGCTGGAAACTTCAGCATGGTATTTGCACTACAGTGTCTGTCAAACAGACCTAGGACTAGTGGAGGAGCAGCAGTGAAGGCCTACAATGGTAATACAATGTGATTCCCTGTCCTTGTTATGGACAAGGATGTTCAAAACAACTTTGTTTCATTTTTGGATAACTTCAACATCTTGCTGTTCATTTCGATCTTCAGTTTTATTTAAAAAAATGAAACCAGTTAAAATCACTCAATGCCCTCATATTGGCCTCCTTCACCCAAGCATCATATTTATAAAATACATCTACACTAAATGTTGGATGAACTAAATATATTTCTCATAAACCTTTAATGTTTTTCCCACTTGGCAATCTTTTTAATATCAAGGTGACACTACTTGAAACAACCAAAAATCAATAAAATCAAATTATTCTGCTACTTTTCTCTCTACACTAAATCTACTTAAACACAACTTCATGTACTCTAGTGTAGTATGGCATCCTTGGGCCATTCCCCTTTGTCTGAATTCTGTTGGAAAGCTTAGACCCCTAGTAATTTGAGCCCCATCCTGATAAAACATAGCTACAGGCCTGTCCCCAATAGATTCTTCAAATACAGCAGTACATGAATATACTGGGAGCAGGCCATGAATTTCTCACAAGACTACACACATAAACCATCTAGTCTACATACCACATTGTACAAGCCTATAGACCACCGCTCAAATAAAATCTGGCCGGTAAAGCCACTAACCATCGCAAACCAGAACTGAAACATGGAATCAAATGAAAATGCTAATTATGTTCTAATGTCAGCATTTTGTACACAACTAACACAATCAGTGAGGCTGCACAGTCAGGGGTTAGGAACTATTATATCTAAATCCTAAAATGTAACACATGTTAGGGTGATTTATGAACCTAAAATAAAAAATGTTAGAATTAATATTGGTGTGTCAATCAAAGCATAGCTTCAGGTTATGAACCAAAACAAGGTAGATAGTGCCCCATAGTATATTAGAACAACATTAATACCTTGACAATTATGGACCAAATGAAATATGGGCCATAATGCTAAAACAAAAATATTTTACAAAACGACAGAACATTCAACAAGACCACTAGGCCAGCTAGCTATAGGTGGTATCTGGGCAACTAGATCGTAAAATAAACTAGAACTACATTGTAGCCTGAGCACAACAAAAGAGATAAAGTCGGACATTTTGTTTTTACATCACTGTAACTTTGAACAAAACATATTTTTACAATATTGCTATTGCAGTACAAATGGCCCCAATGGTATTTGAGTTATGACCCGGACGTACGAACGGATGGATGTATGGATGGACAGACGTACGGACAGAGGCGTTCCCTATATCCCTCCGAACTTTGTTCTAAATATTAGAATTTATTAAAGATTTAACATCTGAAATGTTGTGTCCAGGCTACAATTGTTTCTGGAGGTTTCTTAGCAGGCATATTGAGATATTGGGGAGGACATACCACATTGTACAGTCCAATGGTCCACCTCTCAAATAAGATCTGACCTGAGTAGCTACTGTACATAGAATACCAAAACTGGAATATTGCACATAATCATTATTCTTCCATAAGACTTTAAGCAATAGATTCCTGGAAACAATATTGACATCGCATTGTTTATTTAGAGATTTCTATATTCTTTTCTGTTTTTATCAATTATTCTAGGCATTAGTTTAAATAGTTTAACTTTTAGTGTTATCATCGCCATTTATTCTCCTCAATAAAAAATAGAGACATGTATCCCATACCAACTAAGGTTCTTTGTTCTTGGTACATATTGTGCGGGAATATATGTGCTTCAAAGGAGCAGGTATCTATTCCTATATCTATCCCACCCTGACTGAGGTCCGTATTGATGTTTTTTATAATATTAATCCATGAATTTTAAAAACATTTTTACGATCAGAAAATCCATTTTTAAAATTTTGGAACTTTAGAGGGTAAAATGAACCAAGACCCTCAATAGGTATGGGATACATCTATTATGTGTGGTCTGTTATGGATACAGGGTTTATTCTGAGGGAACTATGTGTATTTCCATATTATACATATACATGCATACAGAAATGTATTCTTGTAAAAGTACTCACCTCTATGACATAGAGACATATATTCTTATAGAATGAGTAGAGAATAAGTTTACAGAGTCGGCTGTAGGACCATGCACCATGGACTAGAAGTAGCTTATTGAGGAATCGGAACTGGAAAAATCACATTACACAATTAGGCCCTCTATAAATTAATCATATGTTTAGCAGGGCTTGGCGAGACATCAAAAAACTCCATGGTCAAATCTTTTCGTTACATCTTTTAAGATTTTTTTTTTGTTTGCCTCCTCAACGATTTTATGAGTAAAATATTACTAATGTAGTGGTTTATTAAAAGAGTGCCATTTGCAAATGAGAACAAAACACATAGTGAAGAACATAAAATGACCACCATAAAATTCAACCAGCATGTCCAAAAACAAATTTCATCTAGTATTCATATCAAGAAATGTCCCTGAAATTTTCAAATTAATTCTTTGCCAGAAAATGTGCAGATAAGAAAAATGAGACACAAACTCTCAGTAACGAAGAAATATGAGGATCATAATGTATTTGATGAATGAGACAAAACCTTTGGTTGTTTTGGAATGTACAGTACCTGTGCTATGGCATAGTCAGCTGCACAAACTGCCTGTAGGCCCTCCTGGCCACTAATGCCAACGCCTACATGAGCAGTCTGGAATATAACATCATAATAAGATTATGAGAGAACCATGGGCTTTCTGTTGAAAACCCATGGAGAGAATTGAGGATTTCCTAAGCCTTGCTTCTTGAAACACTTCAGCATGGATAAATTAAAAATAAAACGGGGCAGGAGAGCTCTTTAGCTTTTATCAACAAATGTGCCAAAAAGATACAGTCTTAAAGGCCTGGAATATATTCTATATTTCAATAGAAAAGTTCTAGCTTTTGGCATGAATGGATATACTAAAGTGAAGCATTGAGTAACTGTTGAAGTATGATAACCTTAATATTACCTGTATCATCCCTACATCATTAGCACCATCTCCTATTGCAAGTGTGATCATATTAAAGTGAAGCAAGTAACTGTTGAAGTATGATAACCTTAATATTACCTGTATCATCCCTACATCATTAGCACCATCTCCTATTGCAAGTGTGATCATATTAAAGTGAAGCAAGTAACTGTTGAAGTATGATAACCTTAATATTACCTGTATCATCCCTACATCATTAGCACCATCTCCTATTGCAAGAGTGATCATATTAAAGTGAAGCAAGTAACTGTTGAAGTATGATAACCTTAATATTACCTGTATCATCCCTACATCATTAGCACCATCTCCTATTGCAAGAGTGATCATATTAAAGTGAAGCAAGTAACTGTTGAAGTATGATAACCTTAATATTACCTGTATCATCCCTACATCATTAGCACCATCTCCTATTGCAAGAGTGATCATATTAAAGTGAAGCAAATAACTGTTGAAGTATGATAACCTTAATATTACCTGTATCATCCCTACATCATTAGCACCATCTCCTATTGCAAGTGTGATCATATTAAAGTGAAGCAAGTAACTGTTGAAGTATGATAACCTTAATATTACCTGTATCATCCCTACATCATTAGCACCATCTCCTATTGCAAGAGTGATCATATTAAAGTGAAGCAAATAACTGTTGAAGTATGATAACCTTAATATTACTTGTATCATCCCTACATCATTAGCACCATCTCCTATTGCAAGTGTGATCATATTAAAGTGAAGCAAGTAACTGTTGAAGTATGATAACCTTAATATTACCTGTATCATCCCTACATCATTAGCACCATCTCCTATTGCAAGAGTGATCATATTAAAGTGAAGCAAGTAACTGTTGAAGTATGATAACCTTAATATTACCTGTATCATCCCTACATCATTAGCACCATCTCCTATTGCAAGAGTGATCATATTAAAGTGAAGCAAGTAACTGTTGAAGTATGGTAACCTTAATATTACCTGTATCATCCCTACATCATTAGCACCATCTCCTATTGCAAGTGTGATCATATTAAAGTGAAGCAAGTAACTGTTGAAGTATGATAACCTTAATATTACCTGTATCATCCCTACATCATTAGCACCATCTCCTATTGCAAGTGTGATCATATTAAAGTGAAGCAAGTAACTGTTGAAGTATGATAACCTTAATATTACCTGTATCATCCCTACATCATTAGCACCATCTCCTATTGCAAGTGTGATCATATTAAAGTGAAGCAAATAACTGTTGAAGTATGATAACCTTAATATTACCTGTATCATCCCTACATCATTAGCACCATCTCCTATTGCAAGAGTGATCATATTAAAGTGAAGCAAGTAACTGTTGAAGTATGGTAACCTTAATATTACCTGTATCATCCCTACATCATTAGCACCATCTCCTATTGCAAGTGTGATCATATTAAAGTGAAGCAAATAACTGTTGTAACTGTTGAAGTATGATAACCTTAATATTACCTGTATCATCCCTACATCATTAGCACCATCTCCTATTGCAAGTGTGATCATATTAAAGTGAAGCAAATAACTGTTGAAGTATGATAACCTTAATATTACCTGTATCATCCCTACATCATTAGCACCATCTCCTATTGCAAGTGTGATCATATTAAAGTGAAGCAAGTAACTGTTGAAGTATGATAACCTTAATATTACCTGTATCATCCCTACATCATTAGCATCATCTCCTATTGCGAGAGTGATCATATTAAAGTGAAGCAAATAACTGTTGAAGTATGATAACCTTAATATTACCTGTATCATCCCTACATCATTAGCACCATCTCCTATTGCAAGTGTGATCATATTAAAGTGAAGCAAGTAACTGTTGAAGTATGATAACCTTAATATTACCTGTATCATCCCTACATCATTAGCACCATCTCCTATTGCAAGAGTGATCATATTAAAGTGAAGCAAGTAACTGTTGAAGTATGATAACCTTAATATTGGCTGTATCATCCCTACATCATTAGCACCATCTCCTATTGCAAGAGTGATCATATTAAAGTGAAGCAAATAACTGTTGAAGTATGATAACCTTAATATTACCTGTATCATCCCTACATCATTAGCACCATCTCCTATTGCAAGTGTGATCATATTAAAGTGAAGCAAGTAACTGTTGAAGTATGATAACCTTAATATTACCTGTATCATCCCTACATCATTAGCACCATCTCCTATTGCAAGTGTGATCATATTAAAGTGAAGCAAATAACTGTTGAAGTATGATAACCTTAATATTACCTGTATCATCCCTACATCATTAGCACCATCTCCTATTGCAAGTGTGATCATATTAAAGTGAAGCAAGTAACTGTTGAAGTATGATAACCTTAATATTACCTGTATCATCCCTACATCATTAGCACCATCTCCTATTGCAAGAGTGATCATATTAAAGTGAAGCAAGTAACTGTTGAAGTATGATAACCTTAATATTACCTGTATCATCCCTACATCATTAGCACCATCTCCTATTGCAAGTGTGATCATATTAAAGTGAAGCAAGTAACTGTTGAAGTATGATAACCTTAATATTACCTGTATCATCCCTACATCATTAGCACCATCTCCTATTGCAAGAGTGATCATATTAAAGTGAAGCAAGTAACTGTTGAAGTATGATAACCTTAATATTACCTGTATCATCCCTACATCATTAGCACCATCTCCTATTGCAAGTGTGATCATATTAAAGTGAAGCAAGTAACTGTTGAAGTATGATAACCTTAATATTACCTGTATCATCCCTACATCATTAGCACCATCTCCTATTGCGAGAGTGATCATATTAAAGTGAAGCAAATAACTGTTGAAGTATGATAACCTTAATATTACCTGTATCATCCCTACATCATTAGCACCATCTCCTATTGCAAGTGTGATCATATTAAAGTGAAGCAAGTAACTGTTGAAGTATGATAACCTTAATATTACCTGTATCATCCCTACATCATTAGCACCATCTCCTATTGCAAGTGTGATCATATTAAAGTGAAGCAAATAACTGTTGAAGTATGATAACCTTAATATTACCTGTATCATCCCTACATCATTAGCACCATCTCCTATTGCAAGTGTGATCATATTAAAGTGAAGCAAATAACTGTTGAAGTATGATAACCTTAATATTACCTGTATCATCCCTACATCATTAGCACCATCTCCTATTGCAAGAGTGATCATATTAAAGTGAAGCAAGTAACTGTTGAAGTATGATAACCTTAATATTACCTGTATCATCCCTACATCATTAGCACCATCTCCTATTGCAAGTGTGATCATATTAAAGTGAAGCAAATAACTGTTGAAGTATGATAACCTTAATATTACCTGTATCATCCCTACATCATTAGCACCATCTCCTATTGCAAGTGTGATCATATTAAAGTGAAGCAAATAACTGTTGAAGTATGATAACCTTAATATTACCTGTATCATCCCTACATCATTAGCACCATCTCCTATTGCAAGTGTGATCATATTAAAGTGAACCAAGTAACTGTTGAAGTATGGTAACCTTAATATTACCTGTATCATCCCTACATCATTAGCACCATCTCCTATTGCGAGAGTGATCATATTAAAGTGAAGCAAGTAACTGTTCAAGTATGATAACCTTAATATTACCTGTATCATCCCTACATCATTAGCACCATCTCCTATTGCAAGAGTGATCATATTAAAGTGAAGCAAGTAACTGTTGAAGTTTGATAACCTTAATATTACCTGTATCATCCCTACATCATTAGCACCATCTCCTATTGCAAGAGTGATCATATTAAAGTGAAGCAAGTAACTGTTGAAGTATGATAACCTTAATATTACCTGTATCATCCCTACATCATTAGCACCATCTCCTATTGCAAGAGTGATCATATTAAAGTGAAGCAAGTAACTAGCTGTTGAAGTATGATAACCTTAATATTACCTGTATCATCCCTACATCATTAGCACCATCTCCTATTGCGAGAGTGATCATATTAAAGTGAAGCAAGTAACTGTTGAAGTATGATAACCTTAATATTACCTGTATCATCCCTACATCATTAGCACCATCTCCTATTGCGAGAGTGATCATATTAAAGTGAAGCAAGTAACTGTTGAAGTATGATAACCTTAATATTACCTGTATCATCCCTACATCATTAGCACCATCTCCTATTGCAAGTGTGATCATATTAAAGTGAAGCAAGTAACTGTTGAAGTATGATAACCTTAATATTACCTGTATCATCCCTACATCATTAGCACCATCTCCTATTGCAAGAGTGATCATATTAAAGTGAAGCAAATAACTGTTGAAGTATGATAACCTTAATATTACCTGTATCATCCCTACATCATTAGCACCATCTCCTATTGCAAGAGTGATCATATTAAAGTGAAGCAAATAACTGTTGAAGTATGATAACCTTAATATTACCTGTATCATCCCTACATCATTAGCACCATCTCCTATTGCAAGTGTGATCATATTAAAGTGAAGCAAGTAACTGTTGAAGTATGATAACCTTAATATTACCTGTATCATCCCTACATCATTAGCACCATCTCCTATTGCAAGTGTGATCATATTAAAGTGAAGCAAATAACTGTTGAAGTATGATAACCTTAATATTACCTGTATCATCCCTACATCATTAGCACCATCTCCTATTGCAAGTGTGATCATATTAAAGTGAAGCAAGTAACTGTTGAAGTATGATAACCTTAATATTACCTGTATCATCCCTACATCATTAGCCCCATCTCCTATTGCAAGAGTGATCATATTAAAGTGAAGCAAATAACTGTTGAAGTATGATAACCTTAATATTACCTGTATCATCCCTACATCATTAGCACCATCTCCTATTGCAAGTGTGATCATACTAAAGTGAAGCAAGTAACTGTTGAAGTATGATAACCTTAATATTACCTGTATCATCCCTACATCATTAGCACCATCTCCTATTGCAAGAGTGATCATATTAAAGTGAAGCAAGTAACTGTTGAAGTATGATAACCTTAATATTACCTGTATCATCCCTACATCATTAGCACCATCTCCTATTGCAAGAGTGATCATATTAAAGTGAAGCAAGTAACTGTTGAAGTATGATAACCTTAATATTACCTGTATCATCCCTACATCATTAGCACCATCTCCTATTGCAAGTGTGATCATATTAAAGTGAAGCAAATAACTGTTGAAGTATGATAACCTTAATATTACCTGTATCATCCCTACATCATTAGCACCATCTCCTATTGCAAGTGTGATCATATTAAAGTGAAGCAAATAACTGTTGAAGTATGATAACCTTAATATTACCTGTATCATCCCTACATCATTAGCACCATCTCCTATTGCAAGTGTGATCATATTAAAGTGAAGCAAATAACTGTTGAAGTATGATAACCTTAATATTACCTGTATCATCCCTACATCATTAGCACCATCTCCTATTGCAAGTGTGATCATATTAAAGTGAAGCAAGTAACTGTTGAAGTATGATAACCTTAATATTACCTGTATCATCCCTACATCATTAGCACCATCTCCTATTGCAAGAGTGATCATATTAAAGTGAAGCAAATAACTGTTGAAGTATGATAACCTTAATATTACCTGTATCATCCCTACATCATTAGCACCATCTCCTATTGCAAGTGTGATCATATTAAAGTGAAGCAAGTAACTGTTGAAGTATGATAACCTTAATATTACCTGTATCATCCCTACATCATTAGCACCATCTCCTATTGCAAGTGTGATCATATTAAAGTGAAGCAAATAACTGTTGAAGTATGATAACCTTAATATTACCTGTATCATCCCTACATCATTAGCACCATCTCCTATTGCAAGTGTGATCATATTAAAGGGAAGCAAGTAACTGTTGAAGTATGATAACCTTAATATTACCTGTATCATCCCTACATCATTAGCACCATCTCCTATTGCAAGTGTGATCATATTAAAGTGAAGCAAGTAACTGTTGAAGTATGGTAACCTTAATATTACCTGTATCATCCCTACATCATTAGCACCATCTCCTATTGCAAGTGTGATCATATTAAAGTGAAGCAAATAACTGTTGAAGTATGATAACCTTAATATTACCTGTATCATCCCTACATCATTAGCACCATCTCCTATTGCGAGAGTGATCATATTAAAGTGAAGCAAATAACTGTTGAAGTATGATAACCTTAATATTACCTGTATCATCCCTACATCATTAGCACCATCTCCTATTGCAAGTGTGATCATATTAAAGTGAAGCAAGTAACTGTTGAAGTATGATAACCTTAATATTACCTGTATCATCCCTACATCATTAGCACCATCTCCTATTGCAAGAGTGATCATGTTGACAGATTTCTTTACTAGCTCAACCAGCTCTGACTTCTGTAGGGGTGAGACCCTACAGCAAATGACTGCTTTGCAGGATATAGCAATTTGTAGGAAATCTTGCCTGCAGTCGGGGGTCAAGGCGTACTTCAGAGTCTGAAAATGATTGTAGTACTAACTTAGGACAAAAGAAGATGGTCACACAGATAATAGATCTTACTAATGCTTAATTCATTTGAAAGTTCAGATGAGATTCCAAACATTTTTCTTCATTCGTTTTTGAAAATGACATTAATCTCATCAAAATAGACAATTTTGTCAACATTTGGCTCAACATTTCATAACAACTAGATTCCAGTTTTCTCCATGACTTGCAGCACTAGGTATAGAACATGCCTTACCTTGCCATCTATGATCAGGCCTACTTCATTTTCCCTTCCTAACTGATCCCCAAACTCTTGAGTATGCCTCTGTATGGCATCTCTAGTAGACTAAAAAAAGAAAAGAAACACTCTTAAAATCTAATACTAAAACACCTAAAGCTCATGCTGCTTATCTAATGCAAATCTCCATATGCAGTATAATAAAATATTTTCAAAACACTCAAAATATTTTATTGTTTTTTCAACGCCAAAAAGGACTTGTGTCTAAACATGGACAGTTGGGGAAAATGGTTGAGTCTGTGGAATTGGGACCATGTAAATTGTGTGAAGTTAGCATACTGTCTTTTCATTTGTTTCAATAATAGGTATGCACTGTGTCTTTTATATCAATGCCAATGGTGAATCAAGAACAGAACATATAAAACAACTCATTTCTATTTCACAGGATGAGGATGAAACAGAGCTGCCATTTAAGCTAAGTGATAACATTTTTGCACAACTGTTGATATTTGGAAACAATCCCTAAATATAAAATAAAACAGAATAATTAAAACAAATTTTGCATTTAGCCTAATACCAAATGAAATATAAAATAAAAAAAAATATATGAATGTACTTTAGTGCATGCCATGACAAAGTGCGAAAAGAATCATGCAGAAAGTATAACTATGTAGGCCCATAGCCAGTTTTTGCCAAAAAAACAGTATTGAAAAATACATTTCATTAGACTCAAAAATTGTGAAAAAATGGTGAAAAACTACACGATTTTGAACTTCATGACCACCAAACCCCCTCAGCCTGGCTTATATCAATACTAATAGTGATTAAGGTTTCTGCTTTTATGGCCAAAAACCTATTGTAGACTCCTATTCTGAATTTATGTTGCAAAATGACCATCAAAACAGCATCGTATTAGGAGAAAACACATAAAATCTGTCATAATTTTGAATAACTGATTCAATTCCTAATGAATCTCTTGGAGATCCTAATACATTGTTTAGTTCTACACTGTTTTTTTCTCTGAATGCATACATTCCCTAATGACATGAGATCTTGCATTTTCTCCTTTATACTGGTAATGTTAAAGTGAGTTGTTTGAGAAGCCATTTTGAATTGAAAGCAGCTCAATATGCCAATTTTTATTTCAAATTTTGACTATCACACTGACGTAAATGTTATATTAATGCTCCTATATATTATATAGGAGCATAAAAACATTTGGGCATAGGTTCCCTTTAAAGGCCTCGTGTAAAGTTTAAAAGTATTGTTTAATCATTCAAATATTACTTTTCATGAAACCATTTGTGACAATTTTTTGAAAGTGTAACTTTTAAAATCCTGTTAATCTTATAATTATCAAATATTTGAATTTCCCACCATATCTAAGAAACAAAAGTTTAAATTTTAAGATCATCAAATACAACCTTTAACACTGTAAAACACATTATTTTCTCTATTCCATTGAATAGATCAGGCGTAAGTCTTTTATTTCATCATTCAATTCATGATTTTATGCATATAATTTTTAAAGCAAGTTTCAAAACTTTGTGATGTCACAATGAAACATAAAAATCTGATGTCAATCAGGTGACAAAATATTTTCAAATCATCAATATTTTCTTGAACAAATATTTTCGAAAATATGCTAAACTTTCCAAATAAAATAAAACAATACTGTTGGCCTATCTAGGTTGAAAATTGGTTTCTATCATGTTTTAAATAGTTATGTACTATTGGATTCAATGAGAACTTTAGAAATGAGAATTTTAAAATGCTTTTGCTCTGAACCATTTTTCTGCAATTCTGAGTTAATTTCTTGCTTATTTTCGAGCAATTTTCTATTTTCAATTCCAATTTCCTATTTATTTCAACACAAAATAGGTTAGGATGCGTGTTATGCATTGGTGTAAATTATTACTTAACAATGTATGTTCATGACAACTAAAATTTTATTTGAAATTTTACAATTAACAAAAAGTCTTTCAAAATCAAAAAGTATCATTGCACAGTTTGATAACATTGGGTAGGATTATAATATAAGACAAAGTGATCTAAACTTTATATGGAGCCTTAAATAAAATTTTAATCCTTGAAGGATGACTAGAAGATATAAAAACACGAAATGCCTTGTTTGTTTTGATCAAGCATGGTCACTCATAACATCACAAAAAATATTTTAGCATGTTTCATATGTGATACCAATGAAAAGGTATAATCAAGTTGGAGTACTAAAACGGTATGCCTGCTCTTTCAAAATGAAAAGTGGGGAAGACAAGTCTTCCAAAAGTACCAAAAAGACTGGAATTGTAAGGTCAGTTTCGTTTATCAGACAGTACCATTATGTAGAGACTAAAATACTCTACTAGTGGAGCTCAATGTCTTTCCCAATGTACACCTCCTTATCTCAATATAAGGCTCCTAAGCAACTTCCACATAAAAAAATGTTAAGTGTTGGGTCATATTTATGTGTGTTTATATTTTATGAATTCACTGAATGAATGCGTAAAATAAGAAAACAATGCAGATAAATGTCTTAAAACAATTATTTGGGAAACATAGACTTTGACTAGTATGATGTCACATTGTAAGGTGCACAGTTTGTGATCAGCTGTACTGCATCGTGATATTGAAGCTCCTTAATTTGAAGTTTAACATTGGGGCACAATAGCCTCATAAATTAAGAGTTTTATTAAAAGAAAAGTAGTGTTGAATAACAGAGTATAATATGTCTGAAGTATCCCTTCCACCTGGATGGTAAATAACCAAAAACCCACATTATAAAAAAGTCACCATATAATGCAATAAAAACAATTAATGTGTATTTAAGTAAATTAAGTGTTGATTCTCCTACATGTGTACGTCCAGCTGGTGTCAGATTTCGTCTCAATGATTCTCTGCACGTCTAATGAAGAAACATTCAATAGAAAAACCATATGAATTCACCAGTTATTATGTAAAAAATAACTTCATACTTCACATATTAATATTATTATCATGAGTGTAGCTAGCTAGTTATAAGGGAATAACAAGTGAATAAGTGTTCGCTTTGCAGTGTTTATTTTACTTGAAAGTCAATTCAAAAATAACTAGAAAACAGCGACTCCACAGAGTAGCAAATCCCATCGAACAAAACATGTTTTGATAAATAGCAGCCATCTTGAAAATCTTTTCTTGAACAGAGCTCCTCTATCTCTATGCATAGGCATATAAGATCTTAACCAAATTTATCCACTGGTATTTAAATTACTAAAGATTATGTTTTTTCACGAAAAATGGCAGCCAGTCTAGAATTCAGATTTCATCTTAAAAATTTCTTCTCAATCAGGGCTCATTTGTCCCTATGCATCAGCATATGGAATTTGAACAAGGAGGATTGGCTCCCAGAGTGCAACATCGATATTCTGTCCCATATATGGGCATGTCGTGCTACAAAATTTGAATTCCAACAGCCGCCATTTTGTTAACTTCAACATTTGAATCGTGAATTTTGGTCTTATTTCCTAACGAAAAAATTCCAAAACTCACAGGAAATGATCGAGATATTGGTTCGAATCTTTTGAACTGTTTATTTTGAATTTATAATCGGTTATAATTTCAGAAAATAACGACATCTCGGCGTTTTCATTGTTGGAAAATATCGACTTCGATTCTGGGAGCCAATCCTCCTTGGAATTTGAACCAAATCCTTCCACTGGTATGGAGGCCATTTTGAATAGCCTAGATGCAAGTAGAAATAATCTTGATTTACGTCATTAAAAATCCAAAATTCAGTCAAACCGATGTCATATTTGGAATCTAAATGTAAAATTACATCTAGAAATATGGTTTTAAAAAGAGTTTATCAACTTTGAAAATTTAATTTTCTTTGGAAATGTGACTTCTAGGTCGGGGAGATTCCCCATAGCCCCAATGTTGTAAAATCACCAAAATGGAAATATCTTTTCTTGTGTTGGGCAGATAATATTTTCCTTTACTGGACATATTTTGACTTGTATAACTTTCAGATACATTAGGGTAATATGAAATGTGAACCACTAAAACTGATGAATATTCAAGTTTAGGGAATTTTGTAATACCCTGCCATGTTATTTCCCCCGAATCAGCCACCTTGTGGCAAAACTGGTAACTACCAACTCGCATCTGAGTAATTGAGTGGCCATTATTGGAAATTCCTTCTTGAACAAACGTCCGATACCTTGAATCAAATTTGTCAACTGGTATTTGAGTTATTGACTGGACAGATGGACAAACGGACAGATAGATGGCTTCTCTATATCCCCCTTAAACTTTGTACGTGGGATACAGGGTAATTAACATTTAACCAATGGAATCTTCATTTACCCATTCGCTCATAATGAATTTAACATTGTGGTATCACAACTATTGACAATTGGACACCATCACTTAATGTGATTCTGAAGTAGTCTTCAAGAATGAAAATTATTTCAAGTGATATTTTAATATTTACTTACATCTAAACTGTGTTCATTGATGACTAATAGTGGCATCCCTGAAGTAAGTAGCCTACATGCATAACCTGCAAATATAATTTACCACATATTATATACAATAATAATGATGACTAATAGGGGCATCCCTGAAGTAAGTAGCCTACATGCATAACCTGCAAATATATAATTTACCACATATTATATACAATAATAATGATGACTAATAGTGGCATCCCTGAAGTAAGTAGCCTTCATGCATAACCTGCAAATATAATTTACCACATATTATATACAATAATAATGATGACTAATAGCAATAGGGGCATCCCTGAAGTAAGTAGCCTACATGCATAACCTGCAAATATATAATTTACCACATATAATATACAATAATAATGATGACTAATAGGGGCATCCCTGAAGTAAGTAGCCTACATGCATAACCTGCAAATATAATTTACCACATATTATATACAATAATAATGATGACTAATAGGGGCATCCCTGAAGTAAGTAGCCTACATGCATAACCTGCAAATATAATTTACCACATATTATATACAATAATAATGATGACTAATAGGGGCATCCCTGAAGTAAGTAGCCTACATGCATAACCTGCAAATATATAATTTACCACATATTATATACAATAATAATGATGACTAATAGGGGCATCCCTGAAGTAAGTAGCCTACATGCATAACCTGCAAATATATAATTTACCACATATTATATACAATAATAATGATGACTAATAGGGGCATCCCTGAAGTAAGTAGCCTACATGCATAACCTGCAAATATAATTTACCACATATTATATACAATAATAATGATGACTAATAGGGGCATCCCTGAAGTAAGTAGCCTACATGCATAACCTGCAAATATATAATTTACCACATATTATATACAATAATAATGATGACTAATAGGGGCATCCCTGAAGTAAGTAGCCTACATGCATAACCTGCAAATATAATTTACCACATATTAAATACAATAATAATGATGACTAATAGGGGCATCCCTGAAGTAAGTAGCTTACATGCATAACCTGCAAATATATAATTTACCACATATTATGTACAATAATAATGATGACTAACAGGGGCATCCCTGAAGTAAGTAGCCTACATGCATAACCTGAAAATATAATTTACCACATATTATATACAATAATAATGATGACTAACAGGGGCATCCCTGAAGTAAGTAGCCTACATGCATAACCTGAAAATATATTTTACCACATATTATATACAATAATAATGATGACTAACAGGGGCATCCCTGAAGTAAGTAGCCTACAGGCATAACCTGCAAATATATAATTCACCACATATTAAATACAATAATAATGATGACTAATAGGGGCATCCCTGAAGTAAGTAGCCTACATGCATAACCTGCAAATATAATTTACCACATATTATATACAATAATAATGATGACTAATAGGGGCATCCCTGAAGTAAGTAGCCTACATGCATAACCTGCAAATATAATTTACCACATATTATATACAATAATAATGATGACTAATAGGGGCATCCCTGAAGTAAGTAGCCTACAGGCATAACCTGCAAATATATAATTCACCACATATTAAATACAATAATAATGATGACTAATAGGGGCATCCCTGAAGTAAGTAGCCTACATGCATAACCTGCAAATATAATTTACCACATATTATATACAATAATAATGATGACTAATAGGGGCATCCCTGAAGTAAGTAGCCTACATGCATAACCTGCAAATATATAATTTACCACATATTATATACAATAATAATGATGACTAATAGGGGCATCCCTGAAGTAAGTAGCTTACATGCATAACCTGCAAATATAATTTACCACATATTATTTACAATAATAATGATGACTAATAGGGGCATCCCTGAAGTAAGTAGCCTACATGCATAACCTGCAAATATAATTTACCACATATTATGTACAATAATAACCAGAACAACGGCAACGCCAAAGCGTAGCGAATCCCATCGAACAGAAATGGCTGGAATAGCAAATATCATAAAACAACACACCAGAAAGGCCACCATTTTCAAAATGGTTGCTCACTAGCCAAGTTGTCATCAGAAGAAATAATATGCTTTTAAGTAGCCACCTCTAAAATTTTAGAAAATCGCACACGTACTTGTAAAATTACACACATAAAAATGGTGGCCATTTTTCAAAATAGCGGACTACTCCCCAAAGTTTTATTAGACAATGTGCCATGCTTAAAGTATTCACATATCAAATATGAACAAAATCGCTCCACTACTTTTCGAGTTATAGTAAAATACGTTAAAATGGTGGCCATTTTTCAAAATGGCCACCGTCTACCAAAAGTGTCATTAGAAATAGACAGTGTGCCATGCTTATAGTATTCACATACCAAATATGAACAAAATCACTCCACTACTTTTCGAGTTATAGTAAAATACGTTAAAATGGCGGCCATTTTTCAAAATTATTTCAAAATGGCCACCTTCTACCAAAAGTGTCATAGGACAGTCTGCCATGCTTATAGTATTCACATACCAAATATGAACAAAATCGCTCCACTACTTTTCGAGTTATAGTAAAATACGTTAAAATGGCGGCCATTTTTCAAAATGGCCGCCTTCTACCAAAAGTGTTTTTAGACAGTGTGCAATGCTTATAGTATTCACATACCAAATATGAACAAAATCGCTCCACTATTTTTTGAGTTATAGCAAAAATCGTAAAATGACGAGTAAAGGCCGCCATTTTTCAAGATGGCTGCCATGTGCTTCTTTAATATCTACATTTGTAGCATTATTAATGTCCTTTATATTTTTTTACATTTAAAACATATTGCTAATACAGTTTTACATATTACACCTAAATTACTGTAAAATCGGCACTAAAATGGCCGCCATTTTGAAATGAGTGGCCATTTTGAAAATCGGCTTTCGAGCAGAACTTCTACCCCCATAGGGTATATGTGTACAAAATATGAACAAAATCGGGCCAACGGTATTTGAGTTATTGCCCGGACGGACGGACAGACGGACGGACGGACGTACGTACGGACGGACGTACGTACGGACGGACGTACGTACGTACGGACGGACGTACGTACGGACGGACGGACGGAGGCGTTCCCTATATCCCTCCGAACTTCGTTCGATGGGATAATGATGACTAACAGGGGCATCCCTGAAGTAAGTAGCCTACATGCATAACCTGCAAATATAATTTACCACATATTATATACAATAATAATGAATGTAAAGCAAAGTCCCTTGAGACATCCGTCTATAAATCACCCGGACTGATAAAAAGAAATGAAACTGATAAAAAGAAATGATGGACAAGGAGCCTCTCTATATTCCTCCCAAATGTATTGATGAATATAGATTATCCAATATCCTGGATGATTTGTTTATCCCATGCCCCTGTCTGTAAGTTACACACATTCACCATGTTTGCTCAAGCACATTTATTTTTGTGTAATCTTCAACTAACTTCAGAAAGGTTCAGCATAAAATACACCATAGAGCAACTCATTATTAAAATGAAAATTTTCCTATTCTTTCAGAAATTCATCCACATTTGTATTCTCTAATTTTTGATTATCAACAGGGATAAGTATGCTCCTTTTTATCTAGAAAATTGAAATGGTTTCATTCTGAAGCAAGCCAAAGGGCTTTGAATAATCATATTTTAGATAATCTACAATATGCCTCTCACATGAATTATATCTCTAAATATGCTATTAATAGCTGTACCCTCTAAACTGCCAGACATCTTGTATGCTCATAAATTATTTTGAATGAATAAGAACAGTAAGGTTTCTTTGACATTCATTGTTTAAGTTACATGTTTAGTCTGCAAAACTGAATACATTTTGACTAAATGCGTTGTACTTGTGAACTCTTGGAGAGTTCTGTGCACGTAAAGGGAAACCATTCAAGATGTATGGACACAACACATTCTTCTTATTTGCGACAATACTGCTCTTTTCCACTTCATGCAAAACCAGTAGAATTTTACTTGCGCCTCTGGACATTGGTTACAATAGCCATGTGATGAACATGTTCGAACTTGGGAAGATCTTGGTTGAAACAAATCATGAAGTAACATATATCTACTCTGAGGAGATGGAGCGAGATGAGCTTTTTAACACATCTGGAGATGTTAAAAAGATATCCAACTTCATATATTTCAAGATGGTTCCAACTGATGAATCAGTAAAGCACCAAGACTTCTTGGAAGACATGATGATCACCCCTCCATCTGCCATTTTGAAGAAAATCACACCTTTGTTAGTAGACCATGTGAGATATGGATGCAAGATCAAGATATGTGGGACCAAATCAAGAAGATAAATTTTGATTTGCTGATAACTGATGAATGGTCTTTCATATCAAGAATCATTGGCGCATATTTGGATATTCCAACAATCACATACATAAATTGGGCTCCAGTGTCTACTGACTTAGATGTTATTCCTCCATTTAACTTGGCTTTTGTACCTACATTTCTTGAACCTTATGATGATACTATGACATTCATGGAAAGAGTTTACAATGTGATGGAATATTTCAGGCAAAAGTCTGCAATGCGCAACATGTGCAGTGCCATGATAGAAGTTTGTCAAGAGTTTGGGTTCAATGATAATGCTTGTAATAACATCAGAGACTTACACAAGAACACTGCACTGGTATTTATAAACAGAAATGATGCTATTCACTACCCACAGCCATTCATGCCCCATGTTGTATCAATTGATGGATTTCACGTTCGAGAACCAAAACCACTAGACTATTATTTTAGACAAATGATAGCCAAGGCAAGAGAGAATGGATTCATACTTGTGAGTTTTGGATCAATGTTCAGAAGATTGAGGCCACAACTTAGTTAAATATTTGCTGAGGCTTTTGCTGGGATGCCCCAGACTGTTATATGGAGCTATGAAGGTCCAACACCAGAAGGACTTGGAAATAACACCTTTGTCAACAAATGGATCCCTCAGCAAGATCTAATGAACCACCAATCCATAAAATTATTTGTGACTCATTGTGGATCTTCATCTACATTTCAAGCTGTGAACTATGCTCTACCAACCGTTGGAATTCCATTCTTTTGGGACCAACCATACTATTGTCAAAAATTAGCCCAAAGAGTCAAATCTGGACAAACTGTTGAATTGAAAGGAATAACAAGTGAAAAACTCCAACAAGCAATGAAAGAGGTGATCAAGGACAAAACATATAAGGAAAATGCGCAAATAGCTGCTGGTATACTTCACAGTCAACCCATGGATCCAAAGATTAAGTTGGTTTACTGGGTCGATTATGTTATCAGACACAAAGGGGCACAGCATTTAAGATCAAAAGCAGCAGATGAGTTGAGTTTCGCCCAATATTTTCTACTCGATATTGTGCTATCAATGACAGGTGTCGTTTTTATAATATCTGTCACATGTTACCTCATCATCAAACGAGGAATAAAAACATTTTGGAACAAATACAAAATTGAGTGATTATCTATACAAGTTGAATAAATACAAAATTGAGTGATTATCTATACAAGTTGAATAAATACAAAATTGAGTGATATCTATACAAGTTGAATAAATACAAAATTGAGTGATATCTATACAAATTGAATAAATACAAAATTGCGTGATATCTATACAAATTGAATAAATACAAAATTGCGTGATATCTATACAAGTTATACAAGTTGAATAAATAGAAAATTGAGTGATATCTATACAAGTTGAATAAATAGAAAATTGAGTAATTATACTAGTACATGTATAGTCGATAAATACAAAATTGAGTGATATCTATACAAGTTGAATAAATAGAAAATTCAGTAATTATACTGGTCCATGTATAGTCAAATAAATACAAAATTGAGTGATATCTATACAAGTTGAATGAATAGAAAATTCAGTAATTATACTAGTACATGTATAGTCGATAAATACAAAATTGAGTGATATCTATACAAGTTGAATAAATAGAAAATTCAGTAATTATACTAGTACATGTATAGTCAAATAAATACAAAATTGAGTGATATCTATACAAGTTGAATGAATAGAATATTGAGTGATATTCATACAAGTTGAATAAATACTAAATTGAGTAATTATACTGGTATAGTTGAATAAATAGAAAATTGAGTAATTATACTGTTATAGTTGAATAAATTAAGCTCAGCACTCCAGGATTTAACATTGACTTTGGAGAGATAATGTGACACAACAACTCATATTAAGACAAACTGCATAATTCAAGCAATATTGTGATCTTATTTGATATATTACAGCATCTAGGCTTTCACATATTCATCTTACATAAATCAGATTGTCAGAAAGAACCCATATAAAGAAGAGAAGAAGTTTCCAGCTGGACAATAGGAAAAATGTGTCATAGCTGACTCAATATGTCAGTGGAATTATTTAGATTCCCATTTGTACCTTAATTCAATGTCATTGTGCTCTTTCCCACTCCCTCATGTTTCATATTTTTGTGTTCTCCATATCCTATTTTGTTTTTGAAATCATGTTAGTTTATATTAGTACTGTTACAATTGTCTCAATGATCTTTGAACTTAGCGTGCTATTTCACAATCCCAACAATTTAATTCCAACTGTTTTAGCTTCAGAATAGGACAGTTTTTAGGCATGAAATAAAGTAACTAAATGGAAAAAGTTCTTCAAACAACCAATTTTCGCAAACATTTTAATGAGGGACCAAAAGGGCATATATCCAGATTTATCCTTTTGATTCAATCTTGTTTTCATGTTTTTATGATGAAGTTTGCCACAAACTACATGACTCCATTTAAATATTAGTACATTGTTAGGTTCACTGAGTTTTATACTAAGCAGTCTTACTTAACCATGTTAACCTGCTAACAATTGTTAAGTACATCTCTATTCAACTTGGTAATCATGGTAGGTTGCCATTTACTGTGAAATCAGATTATATCTCAAAAGTACAGGTGTACATACATTTCATGTATCGAAAAGGCTGGAGGAGCGCTTAACTTTAGGCAGAAAACACAATAACAAGTGAGGACTACTCTCTAAATTCAACATGATTGGAAACAAAGCAGTAATCTATGCAACAATTCTACTATTATCTACTGTATGTGAGAGCAGTAGGATTCTACTTGCACCTCTGGATATTGGTTTTAATAGCCGTGTGATGAACATGTTCAAACTTGGGAAAATCTTGGTTGAAGCCAATCATGAAGTAACAATTGTCTACTCCAACCAGATGGAGAAGGATGATCTTTATAAGTCTGCAACACATAATAATGAATTGTTTAACTTCATATATTATGAGATGCCAGCAAGTGATGAATCAACGCAGAATCAAGAGTTCCTTGAGGGCATGATGGTCACACCTCCATCAGCAGTCATTAGGAACATGTCCCCTATGCTAGTGGCACACATAAGGTGTGTGTGTAATGATAAGACCATGTGGGAGCAAATAGACAAGATGGACTTTGATTTGTTGATAGGTGATGAGGGTTCATTCATGTCAAGGATCATTGGTGGACAATTCAACATTCCAACAATAACATATATAAACTGGGGTCCAGTATCTCATGAATTTGAGGTTATTCCCCCCTTCAACTTGGCTTTTGTACCCACATTCTTTGAACCATATGCTGATACAATGACATTCATGGAAAGAGTCTACAATGTGATGGAATATTTCAACCAAAAATCTGTAATGAGCAACATGTACAGTGCCATGATAGAAGTTTGTCGAGAGTTTGGGTTCAATGATAATGCTTGTAATAACATCAGAGATTTACACAAGAACACTGCACTGGTATTTATAAACAGAAATGATGCTATTCACTACCCACAGCCATTCATGCCCCATGTTGTATCAATTGATGGATTTAACTTTGGAGAACCAAAACCACTAGACAATTATTATACAGAAATGTTAGAAAAGGCGGGAGAGCATGGGTTCATACTTGTGAGTTTTGGATCAATGTTCCGTAAATTGTGGCCAAAACTCAGTAAAATATTTGCTGAGGCTTTTGCTGGGATGCCCCAGACTGTTATATGGAGCTATGAAGGTCCAACACCAGAAGGACTTGGAAATAACACCATTGTCAACAAATGGATCCCTCAGCAAGATTTAATGAACCACCCATCCATAAAATTATTTGTGACTCATTGTGGATCTTCATCTACATTTCAAGCTGTGAACTATGCTCTACCAACCGTTGGAATTCCATTCTTTTGGGACCAGCCATACTATTGTCAAAAATTAGCCCAAAGAGTCAAATCTGGACAAACTGTTGAATTGAAAGGAATAACAAGTGAAAAACTCCAACAAGCAATGAAAGAGGTGATCAAGGACAAAACATATAAGGAAAATGCGCAAATAGCTGCTGGTAATCTTCAAAGCCACCCTGTTGATCCAAAAGTAAAGGTGGTTTACTGGGTTGAATATGTTCTTCGACAAAAAGGTGTAAATAATTTAAGATCCATAGCAGCCAATGAACTTAACTTCTTTCAGTACTTTCTACTGGACATTGTTGCATTGGGAGTGGTCCTTATTTTCATGACTGGTTTGTTTGGTGTTTGTGTTACAAAGAAAGTATTTTCTACTTTGTATAAATCTGGTAAAAATAAGGTTGAGTGAGTGTATATTTAAAGATGTACCTTGGGACTATAATGTATTACACAAGGACTGCATATTGAGTATCAAAAAAGACTATATAAAGTAGTTTAGAAGAATTGTATTAAGTACTGCACAATGACTCCATATTTGCTTTTCATGTATCAAAGAAGGATTTTTCTTCCTCAATATGAGATTGAGTGCATGTGTCTGAAGTGGTGCATACTGTATAAAGCACTGCATAACAAATATAGGATGTACTGCATTCAAACTGTATATGGATTTTCATAAAATATTGCATAAGGACTGTATACTATAAATGGCATGAATATGTGTTAATGAAGGGTGGAACGACACTTCAGACACATTTGAACCAGGCACTGGCTTGGAAGTAAGAATTGACTGGCTTCCCCAGCATGGGTATTCCATTCTTTTGGGATCAACTATTGTCAAAAATTAACCCAAGAGTCAAATTTGTGCTGGGGACATTTTCCTGATGTCTGGCATTTACTGCAAGTATGTCATATTAGATGACATCACACAGCTCTAGCAAACAATTTTCAGGATTAAATCGAACTGACATCTGAAGGACACCATATGGAGCCTCAAAAACTATCCTGAGGCTATTTGATAATGACATGCATCCAGAAATCAAGAGGATATCTCCACAATATATAGCTCCTGCTGATTGTACATCATGTACAAACTGGCAAATAAGCTCCTGGTGCCCATGTGGTTCCCCAATTTGCCAGGCAATTTTGGCCCAAAACTCATTGGCCCTTATGTCTTATTATATATTATTACATACCTCATATGTATTCTATACGCTTATTGGTCAATTCATGGTCACATGATATGAAATAGATAGACTAATTCCCTGGAAAGTACTAAATCCCCGCTTTCGCAGATTACGGGAAAGATAAAAGCTACTAATGACCGATGACGTCATTGAAATCCCAGGAAAACGACTGCGCATCATTAGTGCGCATTCAAAGTTCAGTTCAGACGACAATATGGCTGGTCGTTTCGAAACGATAAATGATGATGATTTGGATGAATTGATGGACCAAGCCGATTCTTTGGCTACAAAAAACATTATCAAATCTTCAAGGAAACTCTTTGAAGAGTACTGTGGAGAAACTAACTGCGATGCTGACTCAGACAATCCAGAAATGATAGGATCTATATTGGAGAAATTTTGGCCGGTCTTAATATTTTTTATTTGGAATACATATGAGGTATGTAATAAAACAAATAGTGACTGCCAAAGTTTCGGGCAATAGGGCAAACAATTTTCCCCTTGGGAATATCCTGTCCACTGACATGTTCCCTCATGTCAGTGGACAGGATATTCCCTCAGGGAAAATAGTTTGCCCTATTGCCCTCAATGGCAGTCACTATTTGTATAATAATAAATATCAATATATTCATCAGTTAATCATCAAACTAACACATTCAGTTTAAATAAAGACAAGTTTGAAGAAAATATATTAGGCTAGATACATGTAGTTCTTTAGATAAAGGGGATGGAATTTTAAAGGATCCACACATGATTGACTCCAGAATGTCTAAAACTTCCGAGAAAGAATACATATTGTAATGAGACATACCTATATTTATGGCAGTTTCTTGTTTATCCCCAGTGAGAATCCAGATCTTTATTTCTGCCTTGGCCAGGTTGGCAATGGCTTCGGGTACACCTTCCTGCAGTTTATCTTCTATAGCAGTGGCACCCAATAACGTGAGATTCTGAACAACAAAACATTAAAAATAATTTAATCCTTCTTGTAAATTGTTTAATTAAGTTTTTAGTTGTTTCACATAAACTCTGTGAAGGTGGCATTTATAACACTGACGTTTATCCCAAAACAAAACCTTTCACTCATCATCTCCCTCTTTATTTTAAAGAGTACTGAGAATCATATAGTGTAAAAATAATAAATCACATTAAAAAACATAATCAGAAGATAACTCTCAGTTGATATACTGCACTAGCAGTTATTATACATCTCCTCAATTTCATCTGACTCTAAGACACTGCTTCAATCTCATTGAAGTAATTTATGCACTATTACCCTCATTTAATTTCCAAAATTGCTCATCAATATCCTAGATGCGAGTAGAAATAATCTTGATTTACGTCATTTAAAATTCAAAATTCAGTCAAACTGATGTCATATTTGGAATCTACATGTAAAATTACATTTGGAAACATGGTTTTGAAAAGAGTTTATCAACTTTGAAAATTTAATTTTCTTTGAAAATGTGACTACTAGGTCGGGGAGATTCCCCATAGCCCCCATGTTGTAAAATCACAAAAATGGAAATATCTTTTCTTGTGTTAAGCAGATAATATTTTCTTTTACTGGACATATTTTAATTTGTATAACTATAAGATACATAAGGGTAATATGAAAAGTGAACCACTAAAACTGATGAATATTCAAGTTTAGGGAATTTTGTAATACCCTGCCATGTTATTTCCCCCGAATCAGCCACCTGGTGGCGAAACTGGTAACTACCTACTCGCATCTGAGTAATTCTCCAAATTGTCAAATGTCTATAATCCGATAATTTTATCTAAAATAAAAGAAAATATACCCTTTCTATTAATTCAGCTGCCTCAGATAGTTTAGCCTCCCTATCTTGTAAAGTGGTGCTTGCTCTGTAGTATGTCTCCTGCCATTCATTATAGACATCTTCCTCTATTTCACACTGTGCAAGACATAGCGTCCTCAAACCTTCAATTTTGTAACATACACAAGGTTAATTAGTACATGTAGTTTAACTAAGTACAATATGCTCATATAATATAACAATTATTGTAATATGATATAGTACTACAATTAGTCTATGATTCTATATACATTTGTTTCCCGCAACTGTCTTTAATCACCCCTCTCCTATCTATGGTATTTGAAAAAATGTATGAGATATTTCTTTATTTGATGTTGACAGTCAACTTAATTGGCATTATTAGAAATATCAAGCACATCAACTATTGATCAATTACCAACCTATTGTTGCGAATTCTTCTAGATGCTGCATTGTTTCCTCCCTGTATTGTGACCCTTTGGATAGTCTATCATATATCACATTATCCTAAAATGGACATACATTATTCTCTGTATTGTGACCCTTTAGATAGTCTATCATATATCACATTGTCCTGAAATGGACATATATGGTCCCCTGTATTGTGACCCTTTTGATAGTCTATCATATATCACATTATCCTAAAATGGACATACATTATTCTCTGTATTGTGACCCTTTAGATAGTCTATCATATATCACATTGTCCTGAAATGGACATATATGGTCCCCTGTATTGTGACCCTTTTGATAGTCTATCATATATCACATTATCCTAAAATGGACATACATTATTCTCTGTATTGTGATACTTTGGATAGTCTATCATATATCACATTATCCTGAAATGTACATATATGGTCCCCTGTATTGTGACCCTTTTGATAGTCTATCATATATCACATTATCCTAAAATGGACATACATTATTCTCTGTATTGTGACCCTTTAGATAGTCTATCATATATCACATTATCCTGAAATGTACATACATTGTCCCCTGTATTGTGACCCTTTAGATAGTGTATCATATATCACATTATCCCGAAATAGACATACATTGTCCCCTGTATTGTGACCCTTTAGATAGTCTATCATATATCACATTATCCTGAAATGTACATACATTGTCCCCTGTATTGTGGCCCTTTGGATAGTCTATCATATATCACATTATCCTGAAATGTACATACATTGTCCCTTGTATTGTGACCCTTTTGATAGTCTATCATATATCACATTATTCTGAAATGGACATACATTTCCCCTGTATTGTGACCCTTTTGATAGTCTATCATATATCACATTATCCTAAAATGGACATACATTATTCCCTGTATTGTGACCCTTTAGATAGTCTATCATATATCACATTGTCCTGAAATGGACATATATGGTCCCCTGTATTGTGACCCTTTTGATAGTCTATCATATATCACATTATCCTGAAATGTACATACATTGTCCCCTGTATTGTGACCCTTTAGATAGTGTATCATATATCACATTATCCCGAAATAGACATACATTGTCCCCTGTATTGTGACCCTTTAGATAGTCTATCATATATCACATTATCCTGAAATGTACATACATTGTCCCCTGTATTGTGGCCCTTTGGATAGTCTATCATATATCACATTATCCTGAAATGTACATACATTGTCCCTTGTATTGTGACCCTTTTGATAGTCTATCATATATCACATTATCCTGAAATGGACATACATTTCCCCTGTATTGTGACCCTTTTGATAGTCTATCATATATCACATTATCCTAAAATGGACATACATTATTCCCTGTATTGTGACCCTTTAGATAGTCTATCATATATCACATTATCCTGAAATGGACATATATGGTCCCCTGTATTGTGACCCTTTTGATAGTCTATCATATATCACATTATCCTGAAATGTACATACTCCATTCACTTCATAATGGCCCCTTATCCGAAAGAAAAAAATGTTCATAAAGACTTCATTATGGAATATTTTCATTAAAGCGGATTAATGAGGATTCTTTTCATCATCAAACTTATTGTCACTTATTTATTAACCAATTTTCTTAACATGTGAGGATGAATGCTATGCATCACAGCAAAAAATGCGTATGAATACAATGAATCCTGACATCAGGATTCATACAGGATATGCACGCAGTGTGCCAAACCGGTATAAATCCTAATGCCTGGATTCATACAAGATATGCACACGGTGTGCCAATCCTGTACGTATCCTGAGTCAAGATTTATACAGGATACGCTCGCAGTGTGCCAAACCTGTATAAATCCTGACGCCTGGATTCATACAAGATACGCACACCGTGTGCCAATCCTGTACGTATCCTGAGTCAAGATTCATACAGGAAACACTCGCAGTGTGCCAATCCTGTATGAATCCTGACGCCTGGATTCATACAGGATATGCACACAGTGTGCCAATCCTGTACGTATCCTGAGTCAAGATTCATACAGGATATGCTCGCTGTGAGCGAATCCTGTATAAACCCTGACACCTGGATACATACAGGATTGACACACTGTGTGCATATCCTGAACATATCCTGTATCAGGATTTATACAGGATTGGCGCGTGAAAGAATCCAGTATGAATCCTGCCTCTTGGATTCATACAAGATACGCTTGCAGTGTGCCAATCCTGTATGAATCCTGATGCCTAGATTCATACAGGATATGCACAGTGTGCTAATCCTGTACGTATCCTGAGTCAAGATTCACACAGGATAGGCTCGCTGTGTGCGAATCATGTATGCATCCTGCCGCCAGGATACAAATGATATGCACACAGTGTACCAATCCTTTACGTACTATAAGTCAGGATTTGTATAAGTTTGAGGGAGATGGTTTAATCCGGTTTAAGCTCACTATTATAAATCGATTAAGGGATTGATGATAAAAGGATGGGACAATTGGTACATGTATCTTGCCTAGACTCCCAAATATTCTATGGGGGCCATATTTTGCAAATGTACGTATAGTGGTTATTTACTGGTAGGGACTCAATATGGGTTTTATTACGAAGGACAATATCAATACGCGTACGAAACCTTTTCTTGTAAACAAAAAAATCAACAATAAGTATGAATCCCACGAATGGGTTTCCTTGATCATTGATCTTAACCACACAATACTAATATAGTATATACTTGTTTGATTGCATTTTTGGTCTTTCACGGGTATGATATTCAAGGGACCTCGATTCCGGGCCTTGATTGCAGTTTATGCACTAGGTTTTATGAAGTACTATTTTTAATTCCTCATTTTAGATATCACAGATAAACAACTAAAATTTGATGTAAAAATATTACCATAGGCCTTTAAAATCAAAGTAACCTGCCATATAGAAATCAATCCTCATCATGTTGCTAACAAACAACAGAATTTGGCATTAATATCAAAGGTACATGTAGAACTGGACAATAAATTAATGGCAATAAAATATTGTTTTAGATCCGGGTTTTGGATATACAGTTCTACCTTTTCGAAAAAACGTCGACTGGTTTTTCTGTACCTTGAATTTAAAATTGATATGTGTAAGAGCAAAATATCAACAGTTACATATATTCGCCTTAAAAAGTTTTCCCTAGGCCGGAAAGAATTGAAATAGGACCGTTTCAAGAAATGAGTGATTAATAGAAATCTGATGTGGGAAGCAAGTGGATCTAATTTACCCAAAAAATGTGTATTTAAGATCTAGCATGGACTTTCAATAATATCTATCGAATGCCCATGGATCTAGTACATTTGGGGCACCTGGGATAGGGGCCCGGGGATAGGGGAGTTGATCGTCACTTCAGTTTAGCCATTACATATAGTGTAAGTCAATATTGTCAATCAACCAACTATCCGAGTGCTAGAATGCGGAGCTTGGTTGTAGGGTATATTATGTATTGCATATAAAGATACTTTGGAGATTTTTAGACATGGCAATGAGTAATATAAGCCAGACATATTGAAACGTTTTGGCTTGCTCGGTAGATCTGATTCTCTCTTTAAGTAACCCTGAAAATTTTACCCAGTAAGAGCATATAGACTTAGAAAATGTAGCTTTGTCTTCACGCGTCCTTTTGGTATCAGTTATGTTCTCAAATGTCAACCTTTGTGCTTCATTTTGAACTTGGAAGTTGCATTAAATTAATCAAATGTGTGCAGTTGATGTCCATATCAGCCTCAACTTGGATTTTTTGTTGTTCATTTGCTTTCTTACGTGTATTTCCATGTATAGTTACTTAATTAGCTGCTTGCTTGGTTCCTCGCTTGGTTTGTTGCTTATATGGTTGCACACTTGCTTGGTTGCTTGCTTTGTTTTTGCTTGGTCAGTTTCTTGCGTTCTGTTGACTGGTGATGGCAGAGTTGGTCGCTTCCTTTGAAAGTTGGTTGCTTGGATGTTTTGTAGTTTGCTTGATTAGTCAATCGATGGGTAGGTGGTTCCCCGGGGGTGGTCCAGTCGGTTGGTAAATTGGTTAGGGTATCGATAATTTTATTTTTCAGTTTTGAGACCGGAAGTCAGATTTCTATCATGATTGCAGATGGGGGGGGGGGGGGGTACGTATATGATCAGATTTGATGACGAATATGCAAAACGTTAAAATGCCCAGGGTTTAAATATTTGACACTACGTGAAAGTATTAATGTTAAGACTATGAAATATGATCTCAATTTTGGATTTACTATTCTTCTACTGTAGCGTCTCCTTTCCTTGAAGCATGTATCTCAAACAGGGACAATGGGGGCACAATAGAAGCGGACCATAAAGCAGAATTCTCAAAGGGCTATCTGTTGTAGGATCGTGAATAGTTTTGTTTAGTTCTTCAACTGTTGCCTTTTGCTTATCCAGAATAGAATATTTAATCTGATTTGTTCCACCTTTCGTTTCGCTCAGTTCTGCAAAATTATGTTGACATATCAACATTTTTGGGTTGTTTCATTTGCGAAATCATTGTACGTGTAATTAAGAGACACTAGATGGGGGGGGGGTGAGTTTGAATTGATTCTCTTCACAGGATTTGATATACACATCTGTAAGGAGCATACTCGTTTCCCAGTTTGATTTTCAATCAAAACATTATACCTTGGAAATCCAAGACAAATTAATGCTGTAAGTAACTAATATTAAATGATAACAAAAGATTAAAGTCTATGTCTTTGTTTTTATAACTGCGGAAGTGTACCACCTTGATTACAGAAGAGATCATCGAGGAATTACTTTAGATTTTATGAATATAATTATTCTTTGCCTCTAGTCTCATTTCTTAAACCTGCCTATAATTTGTGAAATACTATTTCAGCTATTTGACAAAACCAAAAGTTACTACATCATAGTCCCCCCCCCCTTGCACCGTCGAAGTCTACGTCTGTTTTTCAAGTCCCGGGCCAACATTGGGCGATATGTGTAAAATTTGCATTTAGATTTGTTACTTGGAGAGGCACACAGAAGCAAACTCACTGGAGACATTGATAGATAATCAGGATTGAGAATACACGGGGCATTGTACCCGGGGCATTGTATTCTTCGATTTCAAATTTATGATTCAAATTCGGAGAGTTATTCTAATCCCGGGTTTCTAATCAAATTATTACTCCTATAGTGATGCAAGACAACAATACACATCATATTTTGTTTTTGAACATTATCACTATAATTATTTTGGGAACATGAGACATCAACCGCCGATATAGATATTGACAACGTGCAGATGTAAAGTACATGTTCATCATCCATCCTCGCGTGATGCATATGAAGACTCTATGTATGTCATTGTCGCCATTTAGTATGTACACTTAAAGGCCCCATGTAAAGTTTAAACCACTTTGGCTTAAATTGTAGTCTTACCCAATGTTATCAAAGTGTGATATGTGAAACTTTTTTTTTTAATTTCAAAAAGTGGTTTTTGATAGACTTTTTGTTCCAAAATTTGTGAATTTATTAAAAACCAACTTTTAGAGGTCACTCATATCTTCTAATTAGCCACAATTCATACCAATGCATAGCATACATCCTCCCATGTTTTTTGCCGAAAAAATTAAGAAAATCGGTTGATAAACAAGCGAGAAATGAACTTATCAGTGCATGAAAATGGTTCTGAGAAAAATGCATTTCAAAATTTTAGTTCTCATAGAAACCAATGATACAATGATATCTAAAACATAATTTATTCTTCCTTTTAACCTGGTTAGACAATCAACATTGTTTTTTATGAAAGTCTAGCATATTTAAATAAGATTGACATCGAAAAAAAAATTCATTTTTTTTCAAAAGGTTTTTGTTACCTTAGTGACATCACTAATGTTTCAAAATATTTTTGATAAGCTAAAACATTGAAGTTGCCCATTAAATATGACATTTTATTATTGAAATAGTGTGTCTTTTGTTTAATCTTTGCATTGGTGTTAAAAATATAATGTTTTTTGAAATGCATTAAGAAATATTTGATGATTAAGAAATTTCAACTTTTTTTGAAAAATGGCGGGAAATTTGAATATTTGAGAAATGAAATGCTCACAACTTTTTTTTCAAAAAAGATTTTTTGTTCAAAAATCTCTAAAATCACTTTTTAAGTCCTGACAAATAGTAAATGAATGATAAAAAAATATTTTCAAACTTTAGACGGGGACTGATATGGACATCAACTGCACACATTTGATTAATTTAATGCAACTTCCAAGTTCAAAATGAAGCACAAAGGTTGAGGGAGTCAAGATGCTAGAAAAAGCATTTTTATTTCAGATTTCATTTTCCCATGGCTTTACAAATGTGAGAACTGATATCATAAGTTACATTGCGAATACACCGTCTGATTGCTGTATTTGTTAAAATAACATCCGAACTAGACGACATGTATATAAATAATCCAATTTACTTTGATATTATAACATATTCAGATACAATATATATTATATATTTGTTTTCAGACATATCTTATTCTTAATAATAAGTATTAGCCACAACTCTGATCATGATAACTCCCTCCCCCCCTCCACTCCATGTGATGCCTTTCAATTCAATTTTTCATAAATGACATAGTACTGAAATGTGCGCCCTGGAATGTGCGTTGCGTCTATACAAATGCATCTAGGCAACAGTCGACGAAAACGAGACAAACCAAAGTCTTCCAACTGATACACAAAAGCATGGTCTAGGTCAAAGAGTCACCATGTTAATTATGAAGGGGCGTGTAGAACCAAATTATATCGGCCATAGCATTTGAGACTGATTTGAGATACATATCATTCCATTTAAACTGTTTCCCTTGCGCATTTGTAATTATAGTAGACAGGCATCACATTGGAGGAAGGGGGATGAGCATTAACATAATCAGATTTTAGGATGCATTTGCAAATTGTATTTGAAATTCGCATGGGAAGGAAAAGAAGGAAAATGAGTCTTAAAATTTGACACTCACTCATGGAAATAGTATGATGCCTGAAAACAAGTACGGTATATGCAATCAAAAAATCCTGCCTCCAGACTATCCCCCTCTATTTCAGCCAAAATTCACACATTCATGGCGGGGCTTGTAGCTAAATTATCAATCATCATTAGTGAATTTGAATTTTCACTGGTAATAGCGATTATAAAAATATAGCAATTATCCTTTCAATAGTTTTAGCTTATCAAAAGAAGTGAGTTCATCTGTTGCTTCTTTTACCATCTGAACTCCAGAGTAAACGATAAATGTACATTATTTTGACTAAGCCAGGGGCCCACTGTACAGTAGTTCTTTTCCCTTAAATACAGTTTTATCTACCTTGCGTTACTTTTAAGTTAACCTCCGGGTCATGGGTATTCTGAGTTTTAGCCATACAGTATGACGCAGGCCCGTAGCCAGGATTTGCCATGGGAGGTTCACTTCTTGAAAAATTCCAAGGGGGGGTTTACTTGTGCCTGTATGTATCCAGGCGTCAGGATTCATACAGGATTGGCACACTGCGAGCGTATCCTGTTCGAATCCAGGAGCAGGATTTATACTGGATTCCTACATTCGCAAATCCTGAATAAATCCTGACACGGGATATGTACAGGATATGTACATTTTGTGCCAATCCTGTATGTATCCAGGCATCAGGATTCATACAGGATTGGCACACTGCGAGCGTATCCTGTATGAATCCAGATGCAGGATTCATACTGGATTCCTACACGCGCCAATCCTGTATAAATCCTGACCCAGGATATGTACAGGATATGTACATTGTGTGCCAATCCTGTATGTATCCAGGCATCAGGATTCATACAGGATTGGCACACTGCGAGCGTATCTTGTGTGAATCCAGATGTAGGATTCATACTGGATTCCTACACGCGCCAATCCTGTATAAATCCTGACACAGGATATGTACATTCGGTGCCAATCCTGTATGTATCCAGGCATCAGGATTCATACAGGTTTGGCACACTGGGTGCATATCCTGTATGTATCCTGACGTCAGGATTCGTTGTATTCGTACACATTTTTTGCTGTGCATTGGTAGGATTTATAGCTTATTGGAGCATGACTCTGTATTCACGCCTTCTATAAACTGTGAACAAAGTCAACATTTCACCCGGAGTGTATTCGCGAAGAATACCCCTGGTAATACTGTATGAGTGGTAATTTTGCCTAATCATTTAATTTGCCTATTTCCTCATTTTTGCCAGGTTCGGAAAATTAAATGTCGGGAATATTGTCTTTATAATGTTATCTAATGGGAGGTTTCTTGTCATTAGGAAAATTAAAATTAGGAAAATGATGAAATTTGACCATTCAGAAAATTAACCACTCGGATTAAATACCACTTATACAGTACGTTTAATGTGTGACGTCAAAATGGCAGGTCACAGTAATGGCGGACCATAATGAATATTCGAAACATTTTGGTAAGTTTTCATGTTCAAATCGTAATACAGACCTCAGAGCAGGGGTAATATCGTTGAATACACCCCTTAGGGCTAGGCACAAAAGCTTTCGAAGAGAACAAAGAACGTTTGTGCCTAGCCCTGCGAGGTGTATTCGACAATATTACCCCTGCTCTTCAGTCTATATTTCTTAATTAAAAGATATGTGTGACCTCTAAAAGTAAATTTTAAATAAATTCACGATTTTTAGAACAAAGGTCTTTTAAAAATCACTTTTTGAAATTAAAAATTACAAAAAAGCTTTACATATCACATTTTGATAAGAGTGGTACAAACTGGTTTCAAAGTGGGGACTTTAAAATTAAAAAGGAATGTTTTGAATAAATGAATCTTTAATATTGATGCATTTATATAATAAGAAGGTCAAGGTCAGATCACAACACAACTGAAGGTAGTGGAGTAGCGATTTGCTAAATACTAACTATACTAAACATTTTCAAACTCATTATCTGCAAACAATCATCTTTTTAAGTACTGTATATAATATATTTGCACTGTGTCATCAAAGTAAAAGATTGCTAAAATAACGTATGATTTAATAATTAACTTAGAAATATTAGAAATTCTAAACAACATGTCCTTTGATCTAAAAAAGTTCACTTAAATTATAGAAATGTGTTTTTAAGATAAGTCCTGATAACAATTTGTATAATGTGAAATCATGATTTTTAATACAGACATTTAATCTGTAAGCTGACTAGGTCATAATAGCTTAAAAGAGCAACCATTTTTATTAAAGAAACAAATCAATAAAATTAAGATAGATAACGAAGCCAATATGGCATCTTCGAAAGTAACATGTAGAGTGATAATAGCCTGGATACTCATCCCTATGGCGGCTGTCTTTCAAGGGTTGATCTGTGTTCAATTTCAACCAGAGGACTGGACAGACAACCTATGGCCATTGAACATTGATAAAGATGCTGAGATGTTTGAACTGCTGAATGAATATTACAGCAATGATTCACTTGAAAACAGAGAAACAGTCATAATTAATTACCTTATGCTGCATATTTATCCTTCAGATAAGGACTACAAGCACTGTTCAGAAAATAAAATCCCAGGACATCTTCCTTTCTATGAAAAATACAAAACTCTTCCAGATGGAACATTTACTCACTCCCAGACTAACACATTTGGTATAAGGGAAAATGCAATCGGAAAATTAAAGTTAGTTATGATTCCTGAAAATGCAATGGATATTTACAACTGTTTTACCAGATCAAACAAGGATGTTATTAAGCCTACAGATGTAGATTATGAATATTGTAAAAACAATTCTTTATTAGTTGGCAAATATAACTGGACAACTCAAGAATACCATATGATATGGGATGACTTGGAAACAAATGACAGGATCCAATTTAGGTCAATTCCAAGAAAATTTGAATTAACATCCGACACCTATAAAGAAATTGTATATTCATGGTTGACTGGCGGTAGGATGTCATATCCTTCATTTCAACTATTCAATGATAAATATGATGTAAGCACTGTCTTACATTATAATACTGAGCTATGGAATGCTTTAAAATGTCAAAATTCTAGTATCGCCAAAACAAGTAGACTTAACTTATACAAGTTATTATCAGGAAAATGGAAGCCAGCTAACATAATTTCACATCCAGTGTATGTTGCTAACATATGTCTATCAAGTCAAGATTATGTGTTCATAAATAGTAAGGATATGACAACAGATATTGTAGCACCAGATGCAGCATGGACCCTTTCTTACCAGTATACTGGTTATTTTGAAGATGAAGCAAATCCATTTGGGTCTACACCTAGAGTTGAGTACTTATTCAGACATCATAACAGCACTAAATTCAAAGTTTTGAAAAAGGGACAGAAATACACTAAACTTCCAAACAATAAGTTAGAATCAAGTTTTACAATACACAGGGTGTCTAAAGAAAATGAGGGAGAATACATGGCACTATTTCTAGATTTAATGTCACAGCGCTGGAAAACCTCTCCACCCTTATAAAAAATTCAACCTTGAAAGTCCGAATTTAAACCATCGGACAATCATTGCACAATCATTGATCCAATCATTTATGCAACCATGCCAACGGTTACAATGCAACCATTACAATTTTGGTTGTAAACTCATTGAAAATATTTCAATCATATGTAACCATTGTAAACGCTTGACAATTTTGATTGCATTTCTTGTAACCGTTTCAATCAAATGCAACCCTTTAAAATTATGGCAATATTATCTCAATACAACACAAAATAATTATGTTGCTCCTTAAAATATATTTTTAAATGTATGTATTTCATGCATACATGTCAGAATTTAAATGGCTTGATCAAAAAGATATTTAAAGTATTGAAATAGTTTAGTAAACTTGTCTTATGAATGAAAATATATTGAACCAATTTCCATCTAACGTTGAAGGATGGTGATTGTCTCACTCACATGTATATTATCTAGATAACAGCAATGCTAAGGCATAGCAACTTCCCTTGCTGCCATGACTATCATTTTTACAAAATCCCTTCACTACTTTTTAAGTTATTGCAAAAACATTTGAAATAATTTTGATTTTACAAATTGAAGTGTTTGATTTTACAAATTCAAACACTTATACTTCATCTTGTAACTATCACAATTTTAAAGGAAGTAAAATGTGTCTAGAAGGAAGAAATCCTTCAATTAGAAAATAATCTGATTATTGATTTGATATTTTTGATTTGAAAATGCAATCAGACATTACAGGATGTGTTTTAGATAATTAAGTTGATAAGCATAACTTTAAAAACTCTGATTACAGTAAGACTCGGTCTCTCTAGTTTGATTAGAGTCTGCTTTGAAGGATGTGTCTAAAGAAACTTTATTAATCCATTAATCCATAAACAAAACAAAAATAATTAGGCAAGGCAAAACAAACCTTATTACAGAGAAACTCTCAGTTTGATTAGAGTCTGCTATAAAGGAAGCATCTTATGTAATTTAATTATTCCTTACACAGAACTTGATAAATTATAATTTGCCAAAGAACAATAACTTAATCCATAAATCCATGAATAAAAATGAAGTACAAAAATTCTGAAAATATTATTTTCAGTTTCATATACTTGCTATTTGAGATTTCTTAGCACTTATTGAAGCAATTGAATAAAGAAATAAACCCTCAAAAATCTGAAAACACTTTTTAAATTTCTAAGCCCCCCCCCCCTTCTGCATAAAATAGAGAATATAAATAAATATATAGTATAACACAAGCTGAAAATAAATATAACAGAAACTAGGACTATGAACCCTATTTCTGGTCAAGCATTTTAATTATCTGTTCAACCGTTTTAATTAGCTGTTCAACCGTTTTAATTAGCTGTTCAACCGTTTTAATTGGCTGTTCAAGCATTTTGATTTGCCTAAACCCATGTCAATATGTAGTAGGTATTGTTGTGTTGAGCATTATTATAAAAAACATTTGCCAAGAAAGAACATGGTAATTAAATCTGTTGTGAATAATGTGTTTCACACATAATATTCAGTCAATATCAAAATAGTTATCTTGTTTGTATTTTTTAAATTTAGTGAGTCATACTCTTGATATGAGGTGTTAACACATAATATAGATACATTTGAAAAAAATTCTCACTAAATATTTGGAGATTTGCTCAATTCTTTTCATAATTAACATTAAAGATACATCATTTTGGCCATATCAGATACAACTTAAATCAAAATGAACTACACATATATGGATACATTTGAAAAACATTCTCACTAAATAATTGGAGTTCTTTTCATAATTAACATTAAAGATACATCATTTTGGCCTTATCAGATAAAGGGAAATAAAAACCCTATCAGTCTTACAGACTGGGCATTATGTCTCATAGCTACTATATAGAAAGCATATTACTATAAAAATGTTAATTCTGTATACAAAGTTTTTAAATCTGTATGTTAAAATAATATGGATAATCTATTATTTTTTGAAAGGCATTTTATTCTATAATAGATTTTTTTAATAGAAATATGAGATTTTTTTATAAACATACCCCATTATATATTAATTAGGGACAGAAATCACTAAGATCACCTGATTCAGTTTAATCGGGCGCTTCCAAATTGGTTATAGCAGGGGGAAGGAGGTACGGATTCTGGTTACCTGCTTAGGAGAATGGCTGATGAACATGCCAATATTGTGTTGAATTTTGCCAATAGTTAACTGAATACTGCCAAAAGCTTAATGAATACTGTCAATAGTTTAATGAATACTGGAAAAAGTTATTGAATACTATTATGAATACTAACAATTAGTTCATTGAATACTGGCAATAATGTAATGAATACTGGCAATAGTTTATTGAATACTGCCAATATTATAATGAATGCTGGCAATAGTATAATAATGAACATTGCCAGAAATGTCACTTTTATGAACACTTATAGAAGTTTGATGAACACTAGATATGGTAATTTTAATTGTGTAAATAATGTAAATGACAGAGAACTAAACTAAATTTACTAATTTACTATAATAAACATGCAAGTATGTTTGCAGAAAAAATATCTTAATATACTGTTGTTGAATAGAGGTAGATTCAAATCAATACTTAAAGATAATTTTAATTCAGGTAAAATGATAATTTTTTGGAACGATACTAATTCAGGATGGTTGCAGGGGTTGAACTATGCAATCATTGAACAAAACATATTGCAACCATTTACATTTCAATGTGAAATGGTTGCAGTTTGCAATGGTTGCAGATTACAATGATTGTAAAGAAACGGTTGTGCAGTCGTTGAAAAAGAGTTGACTTTGCTTGGTTGAACGCAATGGTTGCACAATGATTGCTTATCATTGTACAATGGTTTTTCCTTTGATCTTAGTAGTTGAAACAATCAGTATTCAATGATTGATGGAAACGGTTTAAATTCGGACTTTCAAGGTTGAATTTTTTATAAGGGCAGTAAGAAGTCTTGCTGTAGTTCAAACCAGATACTCAGATCTGTTTGATTCTATCAAGTTTCCAGCATGGCCCTCAAATCAAATAATTGCTGCTAAATATATTATTGAAGTTGATGAAGACTTTGATGTCATGCTTCTTATAAACTACAAGTCACATAATAAACATATACACGGATATTTAAGCCCTCAAATTTGGAACAGATCACACACATTTGTGGTTAATGACCAAGAGGAATTAAAAGTAGAATATACTGGTTCACCTTACCAAGATTCAAATGAGCATTTACAACATGCTGGATACTTTTACAAAGATCATATATACTCCAATGGGAATAGTTTATCAATAAGTATAAAGTTTAGCAACAATGATAGCAATTCCATAGGCATTGATTATGTGGCGATTCCCAAATATTTCAAATCATTTAAATATTTCTATAAAGGTCCTCAGTGTATGCACTATTATAGTACTCTCAATCATAATACAGTTAGAGGTGTAATCACATCACCAAACTTACTAACGTACAAGGGAATCAGTGTAGATGTTGCTAAACTTCCTGGACATAGTTTGACTATGACTGTAAAGTTATGGAAGGATTGTGGATGTTGTCATTTGGTTATATCCAGTGATTGTAACATCAAAGAAACTATTTCCAATGCAGGAGTGACATCTATTACTCCAATTCCTGCCAATTCTACATGTAACCAGTTGAAAATTCAAAGCAATGTGACATGTGCAAAGGGAATGTATCCAATTTTCTTTCTAATGAATGTGTATGTGGTATGGTACCAGTATCCAATGGAATCTATCAAGCCAGGAATCATTTACAATAATGTCCTTCTTAACCTTCTTTGTGGCTCATTGAGGGAGTTAATGGAGTTGATTAATGATAACGTTATAATGGACAATGATATAGTCCTGCAAGTCATTGGTTGGTTGAATAGCTGTAGCCCTACAGCACCAAGACATTCTTACAAAGAACCTCTAGAATGGGGGAGTGTAGCTCCCATGAGCCTTACCAATCTGATTGTAGTTTGCCTAAATGTATGGCCTCGGAGAAAGGTGAAACTTCAATCACTTACTAGGGTTGCGTCCATCTGTTTGCTCTTTTACGATAGTGATGCATTAAGTTATATAACCATAGTTGAAGAATACAGACACTTTGTGTTTTATTTCATCTCCTTGGCAATAGTATGGTTTCGCAAGAAAATAGGTTTTTAGAGGATTAAACTTTGAATATATATACTACATGTATATGCTTGCTTGCTTTTAACTTGTTGAATAACATATACAAAAAAATATTACAGTACTTACAGCTCCTTTTGTATACAATTTAATCTTGCCATTTGGACATCTAACAATCACAGACATCCTTTTCCTTTCACTGAAACAGATTGAACAATTTATATCAACATTAAATTATATTTACATTATTCTGCAGTCAAGTGATCTTAATATAGAACTTTATATCAATTATATTAAATGAGTTTGCCTTTCAAGTACATGTATAATGTACTAGCTCATTTTTAATACATAACGCCGTGTGCTTCCTGGAGGAACACGATGAGTATTTTGATGTTATCTTTATTATTTTGATGTAATCTTTTATCACCAATATCTAATGAAATATTTCTCAAAGTTTTATGTTGATGTTTTTGCATTATTAGAAAATGCACCATTCAAAATCAAATTTTTCTGAAAGTGCAGAACAACCTTATAAATTCTAAAGCTAAAATTTCATTTGCTATAGCATTGTGATGTATGTATTGCAGTACCAACAACAATTCTGTATTATGTACAGTAGTTTGGTTATATGGTTATGTATCCATGAACTATATCGATGACATCTTTGCAAATTCATACACAATATTGCAGCGTGGGTTCTACAGTATTATTGAGAATGTGGTATGGCTATTAGTAGAATTTTCTTTCCAATTTCCTGTGTATCAAGCAGATGATTATAGACTTAAGTTGTGTTAGTTATTTGTGCAACAAATAAAGATGTTAAGTCATTTCACATCAACTTGAACTTTAAAATACATTTTTTTTGTAATTAGTTGTGTTTGGTGTTGGGATAGAAACATTGGTAAGGTATTAAACTATTACTTGTATATATTGTGATTACTTTGTTAACATTGAAATCTAATTAAAATGTAAACAAATATGAAGTGTTGTCAATGTCTGAAGGAAGAGATAAATGAAATGCTACACTAGTATACTGTACATCTTTATTTGTATTGTGAACAATATTCTCTGATCTAATTATTTTCTGAATATAGCATCATATTTGTTTATGCTACCTGATGAGTCCTTTACCTTGTAAATTCTAGAAGGTTCAGTATTTCATATGTCTCTTCCCTGCCAAGCACCTTTATTGTTACAGACTGTGGTGTTCTTGAGGTAAAGATAAAGCCCACTCTACAAGCACCTTTCACCAGAGCAGCCTCATCTGTAACATAGGAATACATTACAAATAACATGTCCTTTATAATGACTATATATATGATAAAGCCAACTCTACAAGCACCTTTCACAAGAGCAGCCTCATCTGTAACATAGGAATACATTACAAATAACATGTCCTTTATAATGACTATATATATGATAAAGCCCACTCTACAAGCACCTTTCACCAGAGCAGCCTCATCTGTAACATAGGAATACATTACAAATAACATGTCCTCTATAATGACTATATATATGATAAAGCCCACTCTACAAGCACCTTTCACAAGAGCAGCCTCATCTGTAACATAGGAATACATTACAAATAACATGTCCTCTATAATGACTATATATATGATAAAGCCCACTCTACAAGCACCTTTCACCAGAGCAGCCTCATCTGTAACATAGGAATACATTACAAATAACATGTCCTCTATAATGACTATATATATGATAAAGCCCACTCTACAAGCACCTTTCACCAGAGTAGCCTCATCTGTAACATAGGAATACATTACAAATAACATGTCCTCTATAATGACTATATATATGATAAAGCCCACTCTACAAGCACCTTTCACAAGAGCAGCCTCATCTGTAACATAGGAATACATTACAAATAACATGTCCTCTATAATGACTATATATATGATAAAGCCCACTCTACAAACACCTTTCACCAGAGCAGCCCCATCTGTAACATAGGAATACATTACAAATAACATGTCCTCTATAATGACTATATATATGATAAAGCCCACTCTACAAGCACCTTTCACCAGAGCAGCCTCATCTGTAACATAGGAATACATTACAAATAACATGTCCTCTATAATGACTATATATATGATAAAGCCCACTCTACAAGCACCTTTCACCAGAGTAGCCTCATCTGTAACATAGGAATACATTACAAATAACATGTCCTCTATAATGACTATATATATGATAAAGCCCACTCTACAAGCACCTTTCACCAGAGCAGCCTCATCTGTAACATAGGAATACATTACAAATAACATGTCCTCTATAATGACTATATATATGATAAAGCCCACTCTACAAGCACCTTTCACCAGAGCAGCCTCATCTGTAACATAGGAAACATCATGAAATATCAAACAACTGGGACAGAAGTTTCAGTTGCTTTATACATAAGTGGATGGTAGTCTGAACACATAAACAATGATTCTAATCAGCAGTTCTATTTTGCAAATTCTACTACAAGCCCTAAATGGCTTCCATGATTTTTTTAGAACTCTTTGACATAAAAAAAACAATATCATAAAAAAAGTAATTTATAAAATGTCTGATTTCATGTTGATTTAATGTGGCCTACCTGGTGATGAGGCCTGGTATATGATGTCTTCATCAGAGTTCTTCTCTGGTATAACAGTGTGGCACACAGACATTATGCGGAAGAACTCAAGTAATTTATAAAATGTCTGATTTCATGTAGAGTTAATGTGGCCTACCTGGTGATGAGGTCTGGTATATGATGTCTTCATCAGAGTTCTTCTCTGGTATAAAAGTGTGGCACACAGACATTATGCGGAAGAACTCAAGTAATTTATAAAATGTCTGATTTCATGTAGAGTTAATGTGGCCTACCTGGTGAAGAGGCCTGGTATATGATGTCTTCATCAGAGTTCTTCTCTGGTATAACAGTGTGGCACACAGACATTATGCAGAAGAACTCTAGTAATTTATAAAATGTCTGATTTCATGTAGAGTTAATGTGGCCTACCTGGTGATGAGGCCTGGTATATGATGTCTTCATCAGAGTTCTTCTCTGGTATAACAGTGTGACACACAGACATTATGCGGAAGAACTCAAGTAATTTATAAAATATCTGATTTCATGTTGAGTTAATGTGGCCTACCTGGTGAAGAGGCCTGGTATATGATGTCTTCATCAGAGTTCTTCTCTGGTATAACAGTGTGACACACAGACATTATGCGGAAGAACTCAAGTAATTTATAAAATGTCTGATTTCATGTAGAGTTAATGTGGCCTACCTGGTGAAGAGGCCTGGTATATGATGTCTTCATCAGAGTTCTTCTCTGGTATAACAGTGTGGCACACAGACATTATGCGGAAGAACTCAAGTAATTTATAAAATGTCTGATTTCATGTAGAGTTAATGTGGCCTACCTGGTGATGAGGCCTGGTATATGATGTCTTCATCAGAGTTCTTCTCTGGTATAACAGTGTGACACACAGACATTATGCGGAAGAACTAAAGTAATTTATAAAATGTCTGATTTCATGTAGAGTTAATGTGGCCTACCTGGTGAAGAGGCCTGGTATATGATGTCTTCATCAGAGTTCTTCTCTGGTATAACAGTGTGGCACACAGACATTATGCGGAAGAACTCAAGTAATTTATAAAATGTCTGATTTCATGTTGAGTTAATGTGGCCTACCTGGTGATGAGGCCTGGTATATGATGTCTTCATCAGAGTTTTTCTCTGGTATAACAGTGTGACACACAGACATTATGCGGAAGAACTCAAGTAATTTATAAAATGTCTGATTTCATGTAGAGTTAATGTGGCCTACCTGGTGAAGAGGCCTGGTATATGATGTCTTCATCAGAGTTCTTCTCTGGTATAACAGTGTGGCACACAGACATTATGCGGAAGAACTCAAGTAATTTATAAAATGTCTGATTTCATGTTGAGTTAATGTGGCCTACCTGGTGATGAGGCCTGGTATATGATGTCTTCATCAGAGTTCTTCTCTGGTATAACAGTGTGACACACAGACATTATGCGGAAGAACTCAAGTAATTTATAAAATGTCTGATTTCATGTAGAGTTAATGTGGCCTACCTGGTGATGAGGCCTGGTATATGATGTCTTCATCAGAGTTCTTCTCTGGTATAACAGTGTGACACACAGACATTATGCGAAAGAACTCAAGTAATTTATAAAATGTCTGATTTCATGTTGAGTTAATGTGGCCTACCTGGTGATGAGGCCTGGTATATGATGTCTTCATCAGAGTTCTTCTCTGGTATAACAGTGTGGCACACAGACATAATGCGAAAGAACTCAAGTAATTTATAAAATGTCTGATTTCATGTAGAGTTAATGTGGCCTACCTGGTGATGAGGCCTGGTATATGATGTCTTCATCAGAGTTCTTCTTTGGTATAACAGTGTGACACACAGATATTATGCGGAAGAACTAAAGTAATTTATAAAATGTCTGATTTCATGTAGAGTTAATGTGGCCTACCTGGTGAAGAGGCCTGGTATATGATGTCTTCATCAGAGTTCTTCTCTGGTATAACAGTGTGGCACACAGACATTATGCGGAAGAACTCAAGTAATTTATAAAATGTCTGATTTCATGTTGAGTTAATGTGGCCTACCTGGTGATGAGGCCTGGTATATGATGTCTTCATCAGAGTTCTTCTCTGGTATAACAGTGTGGCACACAGACATTATGCGAAAGAACTCAAGTAATTTATAAAATGTCTGATTTCATGTTGAGTTAATGTGGCCTACCTGGTGATGAGGCCTGGTATATGATGTCTTCATCAGAGTTCTTCTCTGGTATAACAGTGTGGCACACAGACATTATGCGAAAGAACTCAAGTAATTTATAAAATGTCTGATTTCATGTTGAGTTAATGTGGCCTACCTGGTGATGAGGCCTGGTATATGATGTCTTCATCAGAGTTCTTCTCTGGTATAACAGTGTGGCACACAGACATTATGCGGAAGAACTCTAGTACAGTGGAACCCATCTCCTGGAGAATATATAACATAACATTGAGAAATCTATTGTGTATATGCACACATACAGTGAGTGAAATCAATTGTTGGTATGGATTGAATGCTTGAATTCTGATATCTCTATGGCACTATTCAAGGGAGCAAACATGTTGAGAAAAGCTGATTTCTACAATACATGGTAAAAGATGGGACCAATGGACTGTGTAATTTACCAGCTATACCGCCCAAAAATGGACATGAGCAGATGGATGGACAAATAGACGAATGATATCACCATGTCTGACACAATGACATGATTGTTGAATGATCATTTTCAATCTCATATGTACTATATGCATGATAGATGCATTTTAGATTCCAAATAAAACCATTATATGATAATCTAATATCTTACCATGCTGGGGTCAATGTCTTTAAGTACAGTAGGATCATCAAAGAACTCCCCACTGCTGTAATTCCTACAAAGAAACAAAGCTGACTGGATAACATTCCTCTCTTAAAATAATCATCAATGAAAATCTCATGTTGTAGGTTTTAAATATCAGGTTATATGTGTTAAACACATTCCACTTGAAAGCTGCTTATAGATCATCATTAAGAGTTTCAGAAAAATAACAACTTAACTCACCCAAAGACTTTTCCAGCAATACTGCATTTTTTAAACTCCATTATATTCCTAGTAAGTGTGCCAGTCTTGTCAGAGAATATGTACTTCACCTAAATATAAAATTGTTATGGTATTTCGATATCATGATACTTGATAGAAGTACACGCTCACAGTATGAGAGGAAATTCTAGTTTTACAATGAATTTATTGGAATTCAAACATGGCTAAATACTCTCAATCAATCAATTAGTTCTTATCCACCTTTAGGAAAAATGTTATGGGTATTACCCATAGTGTTATCCATAATAATGGTAATTCATTAGATTATTTATGGTTTATATGTACATAACCCATAGTGTAACCCATAGTGTTACCCATAGCCAATAGTTATGGTTAAAACTTACATGTTATAACAATGATATACTCATAATTTAACATAAGTAGATGTTATGGGCTAAGCATGTGTAGGTTATTGGCAAATTACGTGTCCCCATAACATACACATAAATTCCAAATAACCTACACATAACTTGCACATTACCAATACATAATGACATAATATCATTATTTACCCATTATTACCCATTATAAGTCATTACCAAAAAACTTAGGTTGGATACGGCATCAATTATCTCTAAGTTATGGGTACTTGGGGGCTATGGGTAACAATATGGGTAGTTATGTGAAACATATGGGTTACCCATAACATTTTTCCTAAGTCAACAATGAATGATATATGACATAATTAGCTACACTGTTCAAATCTGGGACAGTTTTATGTCTAGATCCAGTGATGAATATTGTGACTTCATTCCTAGTTTACTTGAACAGGCAAACTCAATCTACAAATTCATTTTTGTCCAATTATTATGAATTAATTAATATGAATACATGGATAGCTATAAAATCAATTTCAATTTTTCATGCTGGTATTAGCAATGGTTGAATTCAAACTGAAGTAAAACTGCAGATCAAACAATTCAAGACTTTCATTTGTGATACAATGCATGACAATACTTATTTCGGAGAAAAGGCATACTTACTTGACCTAACTCCTCATTAAGGTTCGATGTTCTTGCCATGGCAGGAGTATCAGTAGGGGCATAATACATATCTACATCCTGGAAGCATAATTATGCAATTAAAAAGATTGGCAACTAATCCGTAGATCTCCCACGGAGAATAAGTCACATTTGAGTCCCTGCAACTTTGTACCCTTTTGAATGATCTTGGGTGATCTACACCAGCTGATCTACACCCTAGATGACAATTATAGTTCTCTAATCTAGCATATCACAAATCAAAATAAATAGTATTCATATATTGTTCATTTCACATTCAAAATCCCATAAACTGCTATGAAATCCACAAGCCAAAATGTACTTATAAGCATCAGAATTATACAAGGTATTAACATGCAAAATGTCACCACCTGCCATTTGTTCCAGATGCTGAACACCATCCACAAAAACGGTGGAGACAGTAACTAGTAGTTGTGACATAAAAATCATATGTTCTGGTCAAAGAGGAGTTCTGCTCCCAGTTGAAAGTGATGGGTTTTCTATATTACACTTACCCAGTTGATAAAGATAGCTTGGATGAATCGTACAACTTCAAGGGAAACCTGTAGACTGATTGGAATGAGGTTGTTGTAAAGAATGATGAATGTCAGGAAGTTGAAAGTGATGGGTTTTCTATATTACACTTACCCAGTTGATAAAGATAGCTTGGATGAATCGTACAACTTCAAGGGAAACCTGTAGACTGATTGGAATGAGGTTGTTGTAAAGAATGATGAATGTCAGGAAGTTGAAAGTGATGGGTTTTCTATATTACACTTACCCAGTTGATAAAGATAGCTTGGATGAATCGTACAACTTCAAGGGAGACCTGTAGACTGATTGGAATGAGATTGTTGTAAAGAATGATGAATGTCAGGAAGTTGTAGCCAAAATTAGTTGGAGGTTCCACTGTAATAAAATAATAACAATGATATAATGTTAGACCCACTTCAGGTTTCCCAATCCAATCCAATACATACATACAGTGTAAGTTAAGTATTTCTGATGCTAATGTTCTCTTAATGTGATGTCGTGATAGGTAATGACCCTAGGTCAATCAATATGAAATAATCTTCCTAAAATGGAACTCTATCTGCCTTTGAGGTTTCAGGCAACTGTTTTGATATAATATATTCTCCTATTAGTAATGGTGCATATAATGTCACAAATCTAAAATGGATGAAAAGTGTGAAAACTTACAGTCAAAGCCAAGGTACCAGTCTGTATTCTCATGTTGCTTTGTCCATATTATATTGGCAATGGTGCTGATCAGAGAAAGGACAATCAGAACAATAAACAGCATGAGGATCTGAAATAGAAATAATATCATTTTTATCCCATAGTAAACATTGTCAGTTTAGGATATTAGGATTATCCCTTGACAAAAAATAAATAGAACAAAATATATTTTGAATATTAAATAAATGATGGCCCTTAAGTACCTACTTATACACACAATTTTGGAAATCAATATGTTATCAAAATAAATAAATTATGTAGGCATGAGACAAACTTGAATAGCAAATACATCCTACCTGTTTGTTAATAACAATATCAACGTTGGAACGTTTCAATGGAGCTGACGTAGAGTTCAACATGAGTTTACTTTCATGACCAGTATAGATTACAACACCTATAAAATAATATAAGCAATGGTTAAGTGAAGAATTAGAACAAGATCATCATTAGATGCCTTCTTCAATTATTTAATTTGACATTCTATTCAAGCTAGGTGTTAATATTTTTTTTAACTGATTTTATCTGATAGACTTACCCCCATTTCTGGTTTAAAAGAATTCCTCCAAAAAAGACCATTCCAAATGCTGCCTATCTCCCTCTTATTCTATCTTTATTATATGTACAGAGAATAGGTGACTTGTATATTTTTTAGTTTTAAAATTTCCATAAGTTTATTCCTGGAGTTGCTTACCAAATATCCATTTTGTATTTCTCAACATAGCACCACGCAGCAAGAGCTGATCTGGACCTAATGGAATGGCTCTACAAACATTAAAAATATATACTTCAATATTAATAACAGCTAAACATGTGTGAGCCAAATGCTTTTGATGCCTCTATAAAGTGCACCACTTGGCAAGTATTCCACATTAAGACATTCATTTAAATCAATTCAAACATTCATTAAAGTCAATTCAGACATTCATTTAAATCAATTCAAACATTCATTTAAATCAATTGAGACATTCATTTAAATCAATTCAGACATTCATTAAAGTCAATTGAGACATTCATTAAAGTCAATTCAGACATTCATTTAAGTCAAATTAGACATAAGTCAATTGAGACATTCATTAAAGTCAATTGAGACATTCATTAAAGTCAATTAAGACATTCATTAAAGTCAATTGACACATTCATTTAAAAGTCAATTCAGACATTCATTTAAAGCAATTCAAACATTTATTTAAGTCAATTCAGACATTCATTAAAGTCAATTGAGACATTCATTAAAGTCAATTCAGACATTCATTTAAGTCAAATTAGACATAAGTCAATTGAGACATTCATTAAAGTCAATTGAGACATTCATTAAAGTCAATTAAGACATTCATTAAAGTCAATTGACACATTCATTTAAAAGTCAATTCAGACATTCATTTAAATCAATTCAAACATTCATTAAAGTCAATTCAGACATTCATTAAAGTCAATCCAGACATTCATTTAAGTCAAATTAGACATAAGTCAATTGAGACATTCATTAAAGTCAATTCGATCAGACATTCATTTAAGTCAAATTAGACATTAGTCAATTGAGACATTTATTAAAGTCAATGGAGACATTCATTAAAGTCAATTGAGACATTCATTAAAGTCAATTCAGACATTCATTAAAGTCAATTCAGACATTCATTTAAATCAATTCAGACATTCATTAAAGTCAATTGAGACATTCAATAAAGTCAATTCGATCAGACATTCATTTAAGTCAAATTAGACATTAGTCAATTGAGACATTCATTAAAGTCATTTGAGACATTCATTAAAGTCAATTAAGACATTCATTAAAGTCAATTGAGACATTCATTTAAAAGTCAATTCAGACATTCATTTAAATCAATTCAAACATTCATTAAAGTCAATTCAGACATTCATTAAAGTCAATCCAGACATTCATTTAAGTCAAATTAGACATAAGTCAATTGAGACATTCATTAAAGTCAATTGAGACATTCATTAAAGTCAATTGAGACATTCATTAAAGTCAATTAAGACATTCATTAAAGTCAATTGAGACATTCATTAAATTATTAAACAGCTTTCCAAGTTTTCACAAAATAGCTTTTTCCTTTGCTTGGCACACTCAAGAGGAACATTAATATCTCTATTTCCATCTCCATTTTTCCTAAAATGTATTTGAGGTGCCAATGTTGGTCTCAAATATAATGTTAATTCAGATATGAATTGGATTCTGGACTGAGAATAATACAAAGTATGTTGATCATTTTACAATTCATTTGTGAATACAAATTGGTATGATACATTTAGTGTAATTCCAATTCTATAGTATTTCCAAAGCAAATGGCTATGCACGTCCAATGTACTGACCATTAAAACAACCAAAGAAATGAATGCTAAAAATAAGATACAATATGACTGAAATTAAAACACATGTATACCCACTTATATACTTGTGATTGGAAATACATCTTACATAAGTACTAAATCACAACATAAATACTGTATAATAAAAACAAATGATGCTTTAATAGGCTGGGTCAAAAATCAACGTGTTTTGTGAAACCAAATCAACAAGGCTTTTATTCCGTCTTCCTGTTCATTCAACTTTACAGACTATTCGAGTTACGTTATTTCCACATAAAGAATCCAGAAGGTATTGCAACAGATTTCAGACAGTCACATGTTGGATTTTGGTTCTTTAATCTAAGGATTTGAACATGTGCATAAGCCAATCCATTAACTCCACGACAAGCACTTATAGAGATGATAAAATAATTTGGACTTTGAGACAGGGGAGGGACATACAGGGGACAGGGGATTGCCAACATTTTTTTCTGGAAATGTCCTGATTTTCAACTCGTGTTTTTTTTTCATTTTTTATGCATCAACATGTTGCATTTGGAGACAAAGACAACCTCTTAAAAGGAAAATAGGATTTAAGCAGGGATTTTCAAGATATCAATTTTGATGCATAAAACATTCCAAAAATAGGAGTGGAAGAGGCTAAAAATCAGGAAAACTTTTTTGAAAAAAATGTTGGAGGGGTGTTTGCACCTTCCCTGTCTCAAAGTCCAAATTATTTTATCATCTCTATGAGTACTTTTCCTTTAGATAATGCCTTTGAATCTTCAGAAAATGACTGTCTAAAATCTGTTGCGATATCTTCTGTGGTCCTTTCCAATTCTAAAGGGGCAGTCAAAAATATTGACACTAGATTGTTAAATAGTAAAATGTATGGCAGCTCATTCGATGCTAGGGATATTAGGGATTCCACATTTAGCAATTGATTTGATACTAACAAAACAATAGGATTATTTTGACATTTTGATGTAATGTGGAATCCCTTATAAATATGTAGAATAAAATAATATTTGATTTCGTTGGAAGGTCAAACTTTAAAGAGCCTTCAGATTGACCATACAATTAAATTTGTTGAGTTACATAAGGTAGAAATCAAAGATTAAATGCTTCCATAAACGGAATATCAATTAAAATTTGCAACATTTATGAATTATAACATTAAAGGGTAAGAACAGGTATAAAGAAATATATGTACAATAAATGTTAGGTCTTATATGTAATACCTTCAGAAATATGACATTTTTCTGTAAATTACGTAATTTGAAATTAAGAAATATTGATCTTTATTTTTATATCTTTTCAACGTTAAGAATGAATCCACAAGAGGATGCATTGCAATTAGTCAAAATTGTAGATATGCATATTTCTGATGGCATTATATACACACAGACGTACAAGTGCTTAAATTATATATAATAAAAAATAATGACTGTTTCAAGAACTTTGAATGATAAAGGTGAACATGCAAAAATTAATAAAACAATCAAGTGCATGTTATAAGAAATGACACTTAGTGATCACAAAATTAAAGAAAACCCAAAAATATGGAAATAAATAGTTTCCATCGTACTACCTTTGAGGAGATCCATTGCTATAGAAGTCAATAGAGAAATAATTTATTTTTGCATGCAGTTATATCAGAAATATTTTTCAATTGAAGTACATGAAGTATCTACATGGACAGTAGATTATGTTTTTTATATACTTAAAATGTTACACTGATATCAATTCTGCCCTTTTCCCCCAAATCAGTTTGGAATGGGAAATGAGTTGGACGAACTAATCATATTAACCTTAATGTTGAATTTAAAAAATCAATTGAGATCAATTATAAATGAGGATACAAATTTTCTTTTTTCCACCTGGAGGCCAAGCTCTTCTTTTATGAGACATCATTTTTATTTCATCCCACAAATGTGACCTCAATAAAATGCAATAAAGTGAGTAAATCCATATTGAAGAAAGGACAATATATCTTCTATCTGATCTCCAGTGGAAATGTAAATAATGTTTTCATTGAAATACCAAAGACAAAACACAGTACAATGTACCATGTACTTACTTTCTCCCAGATGGGCTGATATTTCCTACAAAGTCATAAAGATGGCGATTGGGAGCTTCACACTCTACTGTACCTCCTAAATACAAGAGCTCCTCGTGGGTTAAAATATTTGCTGTAGCAGGGATACCCTAAAACATTGAAAATTATTTTGCGTAATGCCTACAAGAATATTCCTCATTAGAGGGAAATGCATAAGCCCACCAAAATGTCCAACCAGAACAACGGCAACGCCAAAGCGTAGCGAATCCCATCAACAGAAATGGCTGGCATTTTTACAAACGAATAGCAAATATCATAAAACAACACACCAGAAAGGCCACCATTTTCAAAATGGTTGCTCACTAGCCAAGTTGTCATCAGAAGAAATAATATGCTTTTAAGTAGCCACCTCTAAAATTTTTGAAAAATTGCACACGTACTTGTAAAATTACACACATAAAAATGGTGGCCATTTTTCAAAATGGCCGACTACTCCCCATATCAAATATGAACAAAATCGCTCCACTACTTTTCGAGTTATAGTAAAATACTTTAAAATGGCGGCCATTTTTCAAAATGGCCACCGTCTACCAAAAGTGTCATTAGAAATAGACATTGTGCCATGCTTATAGTATTCACATACCAAATATGAACAAAATCACTCCACTACTTTTCGAGTTATAGTAAAATACGTTAAAATGGCGGCCATTTTTCAAAATTTTTTTCAAAATGGCCACCTTCTACCAAAAGTGTCATAGGACAGTGTGCCATGCTTATAGTATTCACATACCAAATATGAACAAAATCGCTCCACTACTTTTCGAGTTATAGTAAAATACGTTAAAATGGTGGCAATTTTTCAATTTTTTTTCAAAATGGCCGCCTTCTTCCAAAAGTGTCATAGGACAGTGTGCCATGCTTATAGTATTCACATACCAAATATGAACAAAATCGCTCCACTACTTTTCGAGTTATAGTAAAATATGTTAAAATGGCGGCCATTTTTCAAAATGGCCGCCTTCTACCAAAAGTGTTTTTAGACATTGTGCAATGCTTATAGTATTCACATACCAAATATGAACAAAATCGCTCCACTATTTTTTGAGTTATAGCAAAAATCGTAAAATGACGAGTAAAGGCCGCCATTTTTCAAGATGGCTGCCATGCGCTTCTTTAATATCTACATTTGTAGCATTATTAATGTCCTTTATAATTTTTTTACATTTAAAACATATTGCTATTACAGTTTTACATATTACACCTAAATTACTGTAAAATCGGCACTAAAATGGCCGCCATTTTGAAATGAGCGGCCATTTTGAAAATCGGCTTTCGAGCAGAACTTCTACCCACATAGGGTATATGTGTACAAAATATGAACAAAATCGGGCCAACGGTATTTGAGTTATTGCCCGGACGTACGGACGGACGGACGGAGGCGTTCCCTATATCCCTCCGAACTTCGTTCGATGGGATAATAAAGTATAAGGTATGAGGACTAAATACTTGAGGTATGAGGACCAAATACATATTAGGCAGGCCCATAGCCAGGATTTGCCAAGGGGGGTTCACTTTTTAAAATATTCCAAGAATTTTTGGCCAGGGGGAGGGGTTCGCCTCGACCCATCGAAACCCCACCTGGCATCAAGCCTTAAATATATTTTTGTTATCTACAAAGAAATCCCCTAGATTAACATTATTTCAGCTGATATTTCTCTTGAAACATGGTGAATCTTACAAATCTATAAGTGGGACTCCCTTTATAGAAGCTTTGAACTGAATTTACACTTTTAATGCTGAAATCGAGAGTTTATCCATACATTTTAAGAAAATAGGTATGTCAAAGAAGATGCTAAGCCAAATATTGACCTCATAGCTCAGAAAAAATAAAATTTTCTCTCTACAGTCCTTCTTTGCCCCTTTAATTAAATTTTAGCAAACATTATGAATTCAACCATACCTGTCTTATTTTGAGATTTGTTTCCCCATCTAGATTAGATGTCTCTATATAGCACATTGCCTGAGGTTCACTGTAAAGAAATATGCAATAAGCTTAGTCTGTGTTTATATTGATAGAGATGATGTATTAACAAAATGTTACATAACAATAATATTCTTCAGTGCAATAAAATACAAACACACCCATGGAAGCAATCTACAGCATTCTAACCATAGGGAATCATGATAATTTTTTGAGGAATATATGAGGCATGGTTGATTTTCTTGAAAGGTGCACATATTCAACATACATGCAGGAATAACTGACATGAATTTCAGGTGCACAATTTTAATATTTCTAAATTTACTAGACATTAGAATTCTACATCGCCACATACCCAGGTTAATCAGTTAATTTTTTATATAATTTCTCAGCTATGCTAGCAGTGTCTTTTATTGCATAAGTTAAATATTTGGTACACAGGTTAACAGAATCGTACACACCTCCCACCTTTGGGCAGATATATTTATATTGGCCACAAGATAATCTTAACATCCTGAACCTCATAAATGATAATCTCTACATGTGAGATATCAAAATATAACACAATATATGCCCTCGGCATTGTTCATTTAAAAACATCTTAGGTAAAGTAACCAAAGAAAAGTAATTCAAAATGAATGTGCATGGTGGCAAATTACATGATCTGACTTTTTTATTATAATTACTCAGATGCAAGTAGGTAGTTACTAGTTTACTACCAGGTGGCTAATTCGGGGGAAATAACATGACAGGGCAGGGTATCAAAAAGTTCCCTTAAACTTGAATATTCATCAGTTTTAGTGGTTAACTTTTCATATTACTTTTATGTATCTGATAGTTATAAAAATTAAAGTATGTCTATTTAAAGAAATAAAAATATTATCTGCCCAACACAAGAAAAGATATTTCACTTTTTTTGATTTTACCACGTGGGGTCTATGGGGAATTTCCCCGACCTAGAAGTCCCATTTTCAAAGAAAATTAAATTTTCAAAGTTGATAAACTCTTTTCAAAACCATAATACTAGATGTAATTTTCTGTAGATCCCAAATATGACATCAGTTTGACAGAATTTTGAATTTTTGACGACGTAAATCAAGATTATTTCTACTCGCGTCTAGTCTCTTGATCGAACCCATGTCATATTTTGTTTGCTTTCTAAAGGCATTCTCCTATTATAACATATGAAGATATTTCTAAAATAAATTAATCAAGTTATAGTATTACCTTGAAGACAATAGGACCAAATCAGCAGGGAAAAAACTTCCATTGACAATTTTTACGATATCCCCAACGACAATGTCCATCCACTTTAGTGTCTGCCAGTTGCCATCACGAAGCACAAACACTTTGGAGTTGTTCAGATCATCATCAGCCCTGTGACGTTTCTAATACAGAAAATAAGAAAACCAGCTGAACTTAAGTTAACATATCAAACATGCAATGCCAAGGGTCAAATATCAACTATGAGTTAAGAACAGTTTCCATGTCACTGGGATCTATAGTTTCTTATATGCAAAATCAGTTATTTAAAGATCTAATAGCAAAGGTTTTGCAAAAATAAATCAATGTAGTATAAAACAAATGTATGTATTATGAAGAAATAAATGTATAATGAAAAAAATAGATATGTGTTTGTAATATTGGTATAAACTTAAGATTAAAAAGTGTCACTATCTCTTTCATTTTTCAACAAATATAGGCTCACGTGACATGTGACGCGGGGCAGTCAATTTTGATCTATCGTAGACCATATCAGTATCAAATTACTGATATTTCAACCTCGTCTTGCGAGGCCATTTTGATTTGAAACATCTTGAATTTGGTGTCAAAATGAAGCTGGTCACGCCCACTTTCAGAGTTATCAATGAATCATTTACTACGACTACTATATTCATTTAGGAGGTGTGTAAAGTTAACCAATCAGAAAGACAATTGTTCCATATATGGCAGTTCATTAACATATTCAGTGTTTACTACTGCTTTTCACGTCATGACAACACGAGTAGTAACCAATCAAGATGCCGTATTTTATCACGTGAGTTCAGAGTGACACGCAGGCGACATGTTGTCTGGGGTGATCGCGATGTTGAACAATTTCTTCTCGGAATTTGTCCAGAGAAATCAGCGATTCTAAATTAAGGTAGGATCTGCCATTTTTTCCTGTACAAGTTATAACTTATCTCTATCGAATCCTAAAGTTTTGGAAGAAGATATGAAGCGTAGGTTTAAAAACGAAGCGATTAATTTGACGATCTGATTTTGCAATTTGCAATGGCCAATTTACTGCAAGTCCAGTGCATGTATTTGACAAGAGATAGCGCCAAGTCTGGTATCTAAATGCTTGTTAAGCCACTCAAAAACAAGATCCATATCTTCTAAATTTGATAACTTTGCAGAAAACCTGTTTTCATAATCTGTTTTCCGCGTCTAGATTCAAACTGAGAATGATAATAGGATCGCTGGAATCTTCAGTCAATGGCAACGGGTCTTCATTCCAGAACTCACATTTTTAGTTGATTCTCCGTCATAGTTCTTGTTTAAAGTCCCCATATCTGCTCTCTTACTGCCATACTTGCACACATTTCCCCTCCTTAAATTGTCTTCATTCAAATTACACCCTCTCGCCGATTTATATAGTCATTTCCCAGAACCCGGGAATCAGAATCGCTGATGTTTGCCATATTGAACATATTATATGTACTGTAATATCTGTACATTGACTGCTACGCGTAATGGTCACGTGACTAGCGCGATACAGGAAAAATGGGGAATTTCGAAACAACAATTTTTGGGCACTTTTATTGCAAATTTCAGGTATTTATAAAGTGTTTGTGGTATAAAATATAATCCACAGACATAAATGAACATCCAAACTACATATTTCATTAAGTTTTGGAGCCTTTTTTGCTCTTAAATCAACATCTTTAAGTTAAACATCTAAATGTCTGTATGAATAAGTTAAAAACATTATATGTGAAAAATATCACACAAAAAATTACAAAACATTATCATTGAGGCTATGTCAGTTTTGCCAGTCGTGACTCTATTGTTTGCAACCTAATGTTACATAATTTTCAGTGTCCATCTTGGTAGCAAACTTCTCTGATGACTGAGTCAGATCTAAGCAATTAAATAATCATAAAACCAGCTAGAAACACTGATTTCTCCAATTGATGTCCCAAGGTCATGACCAAGATATTACAGGCAATCACTTAAAGGCCTACTATGCATATTTTCAACATTCTTTGGGAAAATAAAGACTTAACCTTTGACTTCATAGTATTTCCATTCCATTGGATTGATAAATACTTTATCTTTTATTGGACACCAAAAACAAACTGGGCACATCAAAGTCTACAATAGATTATCAAAAAATATTTTAGATCTGTCAAGTATTATATCTCAAGTTTTTGCCAATGTCAATGAAAGATGGAGAAGTTGTTTGTATCACAGGATCCATTCATTTCTATAGAAGTGTCGCCATCTTTTAAATCAAGAGCTATTTAAAACTTGCACTTTGTCAAACATGGACGTGCACTACTTATGATCTCTGAACTTCAAATGTTTTTTTTCTGGGTTCAATATTAATGCAAATCAACCTTTGTATCATATTTGATTGAGTGTGGGTAACATGTTTCAATGATTATTTTATCCTTTTTTCTTCTGAAGTGAGAATAGTGGGGTTTTAACTATATTGTGAACAAGCTGTTAGAAAAGTGGGTAGCTAATTGCTAGGGGAATCAACATCTATGATTTAGTCGATGTCCAGTGCGTTGTCTTTCATCTAAGGACACACGATTTTCTGAGGTTCAGACAGCGAAACATACATTGCCTAAAGGATGATTCATGCCATTTATGGAAACTTTGATTAATTCATATACAAAGAATAGATCCTTATTATATATAAACTTACATAATCTTCAATAAGTTCCTTTATAGCTGAGACTAGTAGAATGAGTAATAGGGGAACAGCTGTTGTGTAACGTCCAGTTGGTGACACATTTGGAATTTGCTGCAAAATATAACGTGGTATATTCTTTATAGAATGACATAATGTTCATGCAAAAACATATAGATTACACAAAAATATATTGCTTAGGTAAGGTCATATTGAGGTGGCAAGAAGGCAACATAAAGGTCAAAGTTCTGTATTTGGATGCTAAGCATTTTGGCAAATTGAAATTTCACATACTTTATTTAGGATCTCTGACAAAATTCACAACTACATAAAGACATAAAAATTTAAGGTCACATAAAGGAATCAAGATTAACTTCAAGGTCAAAAGCTAAATTAAGGTAACTGCTAAATAATGTTTAAACAAGTCTAGAATGTATTGTTTATGATAGGGCATATTGGTTATACATGCATAACAAAAGGATTATATTCATCATAATATGTCACATTGTTTACATGAAAATCTATTGTTTACCTTCTGATAATTCTATTATTTAGACAATTAATAGGATATCCTATGATTTCAGATGTTCAACACTTTAATTTCTGATGACACATAGCATACTGAATAAATTCTTTTGACTATCTTTTAACGTTTAATCCAGCTAACTGGTATCTTGATAACATGTTGTTCTACATGTAAAATGATAAACAGGCACATATCTTGTACATCGGTTTATATACATTCATTTTAAGTGTCTCCTCTTACTATTCCAATATTACATTATTCACAATAGGATTTGTGCTTTGAGTTTACATTTTTATATTTGTTTTTATTAGTATTGTCATCTACCCATGGTATATGATTCATTTCAGGTTCCTTAAATTCCAAAAATTCACTGTTCATATCAATACTTTTTTCAAATAAGCCATTCTACGTAGGGGCATGCGGATCAATCTATTATGACTTCTGTCTTATCTTTATTGAGGACTCTCTTAAAATACACATAGGCTAGAGCTCTATTCTACAATGATAACTACTAGTTCCATATGCTAAAATGCCTAAAAAATACTGAAAAGAAGAATCGGGATATGAAGGAGCCATTCTTAAATGGTGAAGATGAAATCAAAGGAGGAGTTATCTACAAAGGTGGGAAAGTTCATGATATTAAAAATGGAAATGTTGAGAAGGACCCCACAGATGAGGCGCTACTCACTAAAGTACAGAAATTCAGTGTTACTGACCCAGAAGAAACCCCTGAACTGAAGAAAAAGTTATTCAGATATAATTTAATCAAAACCATTTGTCTCATGTTAGCATGGGTTGCAAATGTGAGTAGCATCTTCATTTCCAAAAATGTATATTTCCAGAATCTCTACATGCATATTTTCTAAAATTCGAAGTTAAAGTCCATATTATTTTCTCTGTTTTTAGCTTTTGTATTTACCAGATTGTTTGCAAAAATTGTTTCAAAGTTTCATGTTGAGACATAGAATAGACCATGGAAAAAGATGAATTACTGTTCTGTGATGTTGTGGTCACTCATTTTCTTTTCAAAAATTACATTTCTCAAACAGCTCTTTGCAAATTTGAACAACTTATAAGAACATTGATGATTTTTAGAGGTATTTTCATTGCCAATAGGACAATCATTTGAAAAGTGCTCAGAATGGTGAAAAATGCATGAATTGGCCAGGGAGGGGGGTCATATTGCAGGAGTAATTTGGAATTAACCCATTCAAATACTGTCATATAATCAACAAAAAATATATACATTTAAAAATGAATAAACTATTCTTTCACTTGAATATGTCAGCTCCAGAGATGATATAGTACAGTAAAACATGTGTTAGTGGCCCTTGGTTCTAGTATTTGCATTTTGTACTACATGGTTGAAGCTTGTCTTTCAGGGAATGATGTGGAGCGTGAAGGTGCCAACAATTCCTGACCTGAGGGAACGTACTGGGACAGACTACAGTGAGATAGGGATAGCCATCTCCCTCAGGAGCATAGGTTGGATAATGGCGTCACCAATAGCTGGTTATATATTTGACAGGTCAATAATTTTGATTTGTATTCACTTAGAGATAAGGAAAGAGAACCCATGTACTGACGTGTTTCTATATCTGCGGCTAATATACGACTTGATCTCAAAACCTAGAAACCTTCTATCAAAGAGGATGTTTTACATGTTATCTCTGATATGTTTTGTGTATTGCATTAGGTTCCCAAGATTTCGTGACATGCAGTTAGCAACAGGCTTCATTTTAGAAGCGATATCCGTCATACTTAAACCTTGGGCCTTCAACTTCCAAGGGCTCACGTTTCTCTATTGGATGGAGGGCTTTGCACACGGTCTTTACGGTCTCGGTAAGAATGGTTTTTGAGCATTGAAGAGCACAAAGGACAACATTAGACACATGAACATGAAGACAAATAACAACTACATATGTTAAATCATCATAATTATGAACTTGTATACTAGAATGTATAATTTTAGGTAAAATGTAAAACTATAATTTATGGAGTAAAATAAGATTTTAAACACCATCTTAACATTCAGGTAACTTGGTTCAATTCTTCAATAAAATAATTGATAACAAGGAGACAAACATATACAACATGTCCCCACCAATGGGTGATCCTATACAGATTTTTCATCCTGATAACCCAACACTCATCAGTTGAAGAGGCAAGATTTAGGACAGAATTTGACAATGGCCACCAAAGAATTTATCCAGCATGCCCAAAACTTCAAGAACCATCCCTGAAAATTTCAAAACGATGTATCAGATGGTTTTGTTGGAAACTAGTGGTGTCAATTAACTGCTTGAGCATTAACTGGTTAACCGGGTATTTTTACCGGTTAAAGTCGGTTAACCGGCGGGAAATTTGAACTGAAAATTTCAAATGAAATCTTCATCTTCGATCTTGAAAGTTGAAAAAATTGGAAAAATGATATATCGGCGTTGTTTTACGTTCGTCAAGCTTTACTCTATTCTATTCATACACTACCTGACTACCGGGCGGTAACTCTAAATTACTTTACCCTTGGAATCTCCACGAACACACCATAACAACGAGAATTGCAGCTGATTAGTGTTTATTTTAATTTTAATTTTCTCACTACCAAAGCGAGGCTTTGACCTTTGACATTTTGGCGACGTTGATAGACAACAATAATTAACAAAACTGACGAATTAAAAAATGCATATGATAATATAATAATGGCTGACACTTGAAAAACAAACAGATTAACATGCAAAGTAAGCGCGGGAATGCAATGTGGCAGGGATTAAAGTTGCTGATTGGATGTTTGTAAGGAGTTATCGGACTTATTGTATGACATGTATGAGTAGTTTACGTGAAACGGACACTTTAAAACCAAACAGATTAGCATGCAATATAAGCGCGGGAAATAACAGAATTATACACGGTCAACTAACCACCCATAAACACAGACCGGTCAAGGCATTATCGGCGGTTAACCGGTTAATACTTGACACCTCTATTGGAAACACATTGAGAAGACTTTACAAACCAGTTTTTCGTGATGGTTAGTCCAAAATGACCACCTAAAAGGACGATTTTCGGTTTGGAGAACAAAGTTAATCTGTATATTTCGACATTATCAATTTCGCCAAAGATTTTCTTTTTTTTTCGTATTGTAGATTTAAAGGTTGAGCAAATAGTGCAGAGACGTATCTAACGATCATGGACCTGGTGTCAAAATAAATCGAAGTTTGGATATTTCATCAAAGCTAACATCTATTTTCATTAGCTACAAAGAAAACCCCCGGACGTACCTAATTTCTGCCAATATTCACAATCACTAATCATCCTAAATCCCCAGGAATCTTCTCCCGAAACCATTAAACATCGACAGAAATGATTTAAATGATTTCCCAGTGATATTGTCATTGGATTCCAGCCCTGTTTTCACCTAACGTTCTATCCAACATTCTGTTTGCTATATACCATGCACGTGTCAAAGAAGACCTTGAATATGGGTAGATTTGAGGTGTTTTAATCTTCGATTTTTTGGATTTTTCTTCGTCAGTGGGCCAGGCTAACTGCAAGAGTCGCCGGTAATAGACCATCAACGATGGTCATATCGTGTATATCAGACAACTGCGGTTATACTGTAAACATGCTGACATGCGGTCTTATCTAATCTCAGCTGCAGTAAGAATCTTAAATGGCGGAGATTCAGAAATGTTTCAAAAAACAAAATGTGGGACGTCCATCCTTTCAATTGCTTATTTAGAAGTCTATTTGCAAGTCTGATTAGTGGACAATCGACAAGTGCATATATTTTAAGAAAATAGGTATGGCGAAGAAGAAATTAGGCCAAACGTTATACTAATAGCTCGGGAAAGGTAAAATACAAAAGAGGACATTTAAATCTACAATACGTAAAAATATTAACATTTTTGGCAACATTGAAGATCTTTGAACTGTGAAACAATTTCAGACAGTTTGGCTGAAAATTTGTAGACAAAACCTTACAGACAAGATTCTAGGACCGTAGTTCTATGAAGAATCATCGCTCAAAATTTCTGACATCTATCTGTCAAATGGTTCGTCTGGAAACATGGAGACAAGAAAATTCAAAATGGCCACCTTAAAATCTACCAAGAATGCAAGTACAATTTGGACAATTTATATCTCTTTGACAAGTTGATTAATAAGAACGTGTTTTCAAATCTTAAATGGTTACTTCTTCATGACATCCATCTGTCAAAATCAGAGTGACAATTTTTGAGATTTTCTATAGATGACGTATTCAACAGGTGAGATCTTTTGATTTCATGGGGAGTTTTCATTCAAACCTTTTTCACTGACAGAGGACATACTTTGGTGTGATGGCATGATAGCAAAACATGGCCACAAATCTTAATTTTCTCTAAAAGACAGATCAGTTGTATGGGAAAATGCATGTTATACCATTTGGTTGTGTTATCCCATAGTGAATTCCCGCTTTAGGCAGCCATTTTGAATTTTCATATAAAGGAATCAGACAAATGGTACCATAATTGTGATTTAAACTAAAATTTCATTTGATTTGAGTATAATACTCTTATACTTTGAAGAAATCACCAAATTTTTGGCGAAAATCCCACATTGGGCGGCCATTTTGAATTTTCCAAGACCCATTTCAGAGTAAGATTATACTTCAGAAAGATCTAAAAAAATTTCCTGTTTTCCCAACCCCTTGTACGCAGTCTCTGGAGCTCATGCTGAAATACACTGTATATACATCAATAAATAAATTATACATATTCTGTAGATTGATTTATTCAATAAATATATTCTATGGAGAGATCAAAATTTCAATTAGTTATAATACATTGGTTATATTCTGATTAGAAATGAAAAATTGAGATTTTGCAAAAAATTCCTGCCATTTTCAAAGTGGTGGCCATCTAAAAATAAAAATCTTTTTTGCATAAACGATATACCAATAAACATATTTCAGTCCCTAATATCCAAAACATAAGTCCTAAATCTCAAACTGTTGTTAAAACTATTCCTGAGTCAAATGTGTTGGTTAAAGAAGCTTTAAATCTGGTCTGTCTTATTTCAGTGGGGAACGCAATGATAATTGACATGTGGCAAGAAGATACATCTCCACCTTTACACGCAATGCATTTTGGCGTGGGATTCGGTTCTTTATTCGCCCCGATGATTGCACGACCTTTCCTTGGTACTAGACCCGAAGACAAAGAGGCTTACAACTCAACCAACTTCGACAACACCACCCAAATCAATGCCCTAACCGCTACAAGTTGGATGAATGTACTTACTGATGTACAAAACGTTACTGCAATACCAACTGATACTAGAGTCAACAATTCTAACATTGAAGTGCCATACATTGTGATAGGCTGTTATGGGATATTCATTGGGTTTATTTTTCTGGCGTATCAATACTTAATACCAAAACCAAAACTTCAAAAAGCTTCACACGCTGTGAAGAAATCTTGGCGGGAAGTGATTTCTCCGAAACAGTGCACCCAAGGACAAACAGCATTCGGACTCATCATGCTATTTCTGGGATTCCTTTTTTATTCGGGTGTAGAAGCTCAACTGGCTGTTTTAGGATCTTATATGTCAGCAATAGCATATGAAGATTTGAATTTCACCAAGCAAAAAGCTGCTCTACTTGCCGCTACTGCAAGCGCTTCGTCCATAGGGTTCCGCTTTATTACGATGATCATCAGCAAATGGTGCCCAATGTGGATACTGATTTATTTTGAACTGCTTACAGCTTTTGCTATGTCAGTTTGCTTGGTGACTGTTGGTCTTAGTGACCCAGTTCTTTATTGGGTGTTTACATGTGTCTTACTGGCTGTTACATCACCTCTTTGGCCTGGTATGATGGCATGGGCAGAACCTTATATGGAAGTTACCGGAAGTGTAGTTGCATTGTGGGGAATGGGGGCGGGCATAACCGGCTTTGGACTGGACATTATTTCTGGTTGGGTATTCCAAAATCTTGGTTCGCAGGCCTCTATGGTGCAGACTTGTATTTGCTCATCATTCATGATAGCACTCATAATTGTCATCAAGCTGGTCATGTTGAAATATGGAGAAAAAGATAGGGACGCTACAAAACAAAAAAATAACCACGCTTGATATAACAATAGAGGTTTCCATTTGCACTTTGCAAAGTCTGGGTACAAATCTCAATCAATCAGGAGTGCAAAGCCTGGCCACGAATCCATCATTGAAATATATGTCACATATCGCGAGTCTCACAAAAAGTGAGCCGTGTTTTGACAAGTGTTTTCTCTGCAATGGATGAAGCATGTTCATTAAAAATTTGCAAAAATTGGCCTAAGAGTCTAATGATACTCGTTGTTGATAAACTAAAGTTAATCAAAATAAACTATAAATGTGTCAAATAGTTAAGTTCTGCTGACATCGATTATTGAATTCCCGGGAATCTCGAATCTTCAGCATGGTCATTTCGTCCAGTGTATATCCCCCACATATCTCAGAAAAGGAAAAAACGTTTAAGATTTTTTCAACAGTTGCCCACACTGCAGTTGCCGCCCGTAGGTGCCAAATCATTGATATCTATAATTTATGTTTAGTTATTAATTATATGTTATTAGACAAGATGTATCTAATCTTGAGTAAATATGTATCTGTGGTGTCCTGTCTCTAGCCTTGCCCAAGTCGGTCTCTTTTACTATCTTGATTTCTATTATGACCGCCTTGTACCAAAGAGAAAGCCACGTGCTTTTCCGACTCAATGTTTATGTCAGTAAAATTTGACCAATCAATGATGGCCCTGCAGCGTTAGCTCATTATTATGCAGGGTAAAAAACGAGTACACTTTTCGCCGGGACTTTTCACGAACAAATCTTGCATGAATTCATCATGAAAATACAAATATTTTATCAGATAAATATCAATCAGAGTTTAGTAGATGCCGGAGCATCGATCGGTAACCGGAGGTGAGATTTCAACAATAAACGTTGAAACGATCGCTGAATTCAAATGAACATGTAGGCTGAGATTCAATCACTGATCGACGACTACATGACCCCCTACATTGGATGACTAGGTCTTGCATTTTCATCGCGAAATCAGTTTTAATCCATTGCATGATTTAATTTATATTAATGACTCTTACATTCCCTATGTACATTTAATTACATAATATATTGTAACTCTAAATAAATGATCGATCAGATCATTAAATTTCAAGTCGTAGACGGGAAGATTGCTTTGCTTATGCAGGTCAACCTGATAACGTTTTGATTGGTCAATCAGCCTGAAGTCACACGTCGTGTCCACGCATATATCTGTCAATCAATAAGGTTTCGCGATACCCCTGATAGCGTAGGTATTATGGAAATCTCGAAACCATTGAATATCTCGGCATAATATCAGCGGAGATGTATTGGATTGTACAAGGCAGTAATAATTCAATATCAGAAAAGTAAAAAAATACCGACTTGGGCAAGGCTATCCTGTCTCATCTATTTAAGATCTGCACTAGGATGTCCTGTGAGTAGTATTTACTATAAACTTAGCATTTCACACATAAATATGAATCCGTATTGTCCTATGTTAACTGAGATATTTACCCAGTTTTGTAATGTCCCCTATCTTGATAGAATTCAAATTGAATTTAAAGGAAGTGCCAATCATGAAAGACTAGTTAATGAGCTATGGATTGACTCACTAGAGGTTGGTAAGAAAAGTAAAATAGTCTCAAAAGCAAATGGAATTTGGAAATCAATAAAAATGATCCCAAAAAATTAATAAAGACATATTGTCAAAACCTCATTCTTCAGGACATGGTGGCGTTATGCCAATAACTACGTTTTTCAAGCCAAAAAATCCCTACTCAGCCTCAAGCACAAGCTGTAGACAATTCTCATACTACTTTCAGATTACTTTCTAGACGCTGTGAGGATCAACAATTCTCATATTTAGTTAACAGGGGAGGGGGGGGGCTGTCTGAGATTAACTCATGTTAGCCCTCTTACATTGAACTTTTGCATTGGTCCCTAATAGAGATCAACATGTTGATTTCAGAATATGTATCTTTTAAATATATTTAACAAAGGAATAAGGACAATGAATCTGTTTCACAATCATTTACCCTTCATTAATACACAAGCAAATCTTGCTCTAACTTTAATGTTTTGTGATTCACTGCAGTTGACACTGAGATCGGCAGAATCAAGAATTTTGAATTTTTGTTCTTAAGATTTATTTTCTGGTGAATGAATCGTTGTTTTTGTGTCACATGATCGTTGTTTTGTGTCACATGACCTACCTTTAGACCCTTCGCCCCCTATCGTAAGTTTATCAAATTAAAATGAAATCTTTCGATCCAAGAAGAAAATTTGCGTAAAAATTATAAACTCAATTTGTCATAATCCTTGTCACTCTATTGTCTTTTTGATGAGACACATCGGAACTTGGGATTCATAGCCATTCAACCAAGCTACAAAAAGTATGTATATTAGTTGTTCAACATGTTCAATTGTCTTAATATTTTTGGCATTCTACCTTTAGGAGATTTGCACTTTTTACCTCTAATGACTTACTTTTCTTTATTTTTGATAGCATATGGAATCACTACACCAAAAGTAGTGTGGAAATGGCCTTTCCACGTGTTGGCATAAAGTTTTGATGACATTTAAAGACAAGTTCCCCTTTCATGTGTATTATCTCATGGCAATGGGGATACCAGTGCAAAGATCTTTGTTCCATGGTAAAGAAAAGCTATTAAACATTGTCTGAAGAGCAGATTTACCTCCATAATTCTACTTTTAATATGGTGACCTTGACCTTGAAAAATATAGCCATTTAGGCGATGATAGGTGGTTCTAAGGATAAAATGAGTACTTTTGTTTTGTAAAATTGGTCACTCTATTGTCATTGTCTGGATGAAAATGATAGGTCATATAGTCTACAGTTCTCATTGATACCAAATTCAATGGGATTTGAAAACCAGATATTGGTATAAATTGTAGATATCTAGCCCACAGCATTTCTGCTTGAATTAAACACTCCGCCGTGCATGTAAGAGCGTTTGGGTTGGTCACCGTATAGCCCATATACTGGGGTAATAAGAAATAATTAAATATATGTGGGTATAACTTTTGATGCATTCATCTCTTGAAAGCACATGATGTATCAAATTCTCATTATGGTTTACATAATCACATAAAGACATGATATTAAATGATTAATATGGGTTTGTGCATGAACTGAATATGATATCACAGTTACTTTGACCTGATATAATGGAATGAGAACATTCTCATCCATTTCGACTAAAGATAAATGTGTATTATTAACTTAAATGCACCTGTTTCTATTTTTCTCACTATAACTTCACTCAACCCAAAACGAAAATTTATCCAAAACAATGTTCTTACAATGTTGTTACAATTTTTCTATTATCTATCCAATGCTTCCTGTTAATAAAACTTTGAAACTTACCTGCAAAAGAGCAATGAAAAGGAAGAACAGGTTGGCATAGCGACGGAACTGCTCAAAGAGGAACTTTGGTAGGAAAGTCAGGAAGTTATATTTGGCAGTGCTGAAATGAAATGAATTAGTTTATATTTTACACATTTGGGGAATGTATGAAGCATTTATCATTTTACAATCATTCCATTTTCATAAGTTTTTTCTCGTAAATAATTTATACTTGTTATATATTTCCCTTTATCTCTGGAGGAAAAAGATCAATTATCAATGCTTTTAAAGTGACATCCTTTTTATTCAGTTTTTGATGAGGTCAGTTGAAATTTTATTTTATCTCAAGTATAATGAAATGAAACATTAAACAGTACTGCATATTAAATGATGTGTTACTATTTCAATTGCATAAAATTATTTAATCAATACAAATATTTTCAATTTTAGCAAATTAAAGATTAAACTGCCCCTTTGAATTGCAACATGGTAGAATATACGAAATTAAGTAACCTCTTGACTATTCAAAGTGATGAGATTTTACGTTACAAAAGTGTTAAATTCCTACTAAAGACCTAGAGTTGCAGAATTTTTCAATTACCTTATTTGAATCCAATTTAAACAATTTTTTAACAAGGCATTAACATGACAAAATGTCACCACCATCTAGAAAATTTAATCAATTTGAAGAAAGCTGAAAAATACCTTTTTGACTTTCTTTAAACTAAAGACCTTTTAGACCTTTTATACCAGGTCAAATCTCAAATCTAAAGTAATTTCTAAGAACTTGTAGATGATTTTGAAAAAAATTTCAAGCAAATTGAAAAAAATACCTTTTTGACCTTTATTGACCTTGAGAAGGTCATTGATAGTCTTATCTCAAATCTATAGTAAGATTTGAAATTCTGAGATAATTTTGAAGAAAACATTTAATTAAATTGAAGCAAATTGAAAAAATACCTTTGACCTTTTTTTTATCTAAAGACTTTTTTTTACCTTTTTTAACTTGAGAGGGTCATTGAAAGTCAAATCTCAAATCTAAAGTCAGATTTGAACTTTTGAGAACTCATAGATGATTTTGAAAAAGAATTTAATCAATTTGAAGCAAGTTGAAAAATATACCTTTTTGACCTTTTTTAACCCTTTTGACCTTCTAAAGGTCTGAGAAATTGTAGCTGATTTAGAAAAAAGATTTGGTCAAAAAATGTTAAAAAATACCTTTCTGACCTTTTTTACCTTGAGAAGGTCATTGAAGGTCAAATTTCAAATCTATAGTTAGATTTGAGCTTTTGAGAACTCGTGGATGATTTTGAAAAAAAAATTTAATCAATTTGAAGCAAGTTGAAAAATGACCTTTTTGACCTTTTTTAACTCATTTGACCTTCTAAAGGTCATTGAAGGTCAAATTTTAAATCTAAATCTTAATCTAAAGTGGATCGATGGTTACTACTACCAAATTAAGCACAACATATTGTGTATTACTCCCGTCGAGAGCTACCATGTTAGATTTTGAAAGTATAGCCTACTGTAGCCTCAAACTGTAGCCTACATATGGGCTCATATGTGTCTACTTTTCCCGTGCATGTAGGATCGCTGATGTGCTTCTATGGCGATCAGGAGTTCTAATCGTTTTTTGAATTCATTGTTTGATACCCATTTCCAATATGGCGGTTAAACGGAAATATTATCGACGCATGCGCAACTTGGGAAACGTCAAGCCGCCATATTGATTATACCTGGCCAAAACTTTTGACACGACCAATAATATGAAGTCCTGGTCGATACATAGGGCAGTGAGACGTTCTATAGTTGAGCTGAATGAAAGATGGCGATGTAGGATACATTTTCAGGTATATAATGTGCAACATGGGTCAGCTGAATTCCCCGGAATTTTCTTTGAAGTCAGGATTCTTAAGCTGTTGATTCTAGCGATAGAGAGCTATACTTTCAAACTCTAACATGGTAGCTCTCGACGTGAGTAAATTGTGTATATTTCTATTTAATTGTCAAAAACTGGCTAAAATTAGAAATGCTCTGGTTTCAAAATCTTTTTAGAGCATGAAAGTTAAGAGGTATGTGTCATTCATTGCAAATTAGAAATGCTGAATTGAATGTTAACTGGACTAATGTTAGTTGAAGCCTACCTTATCTTATTTGAGCAGTATTTTGTAGGCTGTACTTGGTTGACATATATCTCCCTCTTGTCAATGATTACATCTTCTGTAGTCTCTGAGGCAGGGATCTTCCCCATGGGTTGGTAGTCTGAAAGTAACCAATAAACATAGATACACTATTAGTCTCTGAGGCAGGGATCTTCCCCATAGGTTGGTAGTCTGAAAGTAACCAATAAACATAGATACACTTTTAGTCTGAGGCAGGGATCTTCCCCATGGGTTGGTAGTCTGAAAGTAACCAATAAACATAGATTCACTAATATTAGTCTTAGGCAGGGATCTTCCCCATGGGTTGGTAGTCTGAAAGTAACCAATAAACATAGATACACTTTTAGTCTGAGGCAGGGATCTTCCCCATGGGTTGGTAGTCTGAAAGTAACCAATAAACATAGATACACTTTTAGTCTGAGGCAGGGATCTTCCCCATGGGTTGGTTGTCTGAAAGTAACCAATAAACATAGATACACTTTTAGTCTGAGGCAGGGATCTTCCCCATGGGTTGGTAGTCTGAAAGTAACCAATAAACATAGATACACTTTTAGTCTGAGGCAGGGATCTTCCCCATGGGTTGGTAGTCTGAAAGTAACCAATAAACATAGATACACTATTAGTCTGAGGCAGGGATCTTCCCCATGGGTTGGTAGTCTGAAAGTAACCAATAAACATAGATACACTTTTAGTCTGAGGCAGGGATCTTCCCCATGGGTTGGTAGTCTGAAAGTAACCAATAAACATAGATACACTTTTAGTCTGAGGCACGGATCTTCCCAATGGGTTGGTAGTCTGAAAGTAACCAATAAACATAGATACACTTTTAGTCTGAGGCAGGGATCTTCCCCATGGGTTGGTAGTCTGAAAGTAACCAATAAACATAGATACACTTTTAGTCTGAGGCAGGGATCTTCCCCATGGGTTGGTAGTCTGAAAGTAACCAATAAACATAGATACACTTTTAGTCTGAGGCAGGGATCTTCCCCATGGGTTGGTAGTCTGAAAGTAACCAATAAACATAGATACACTATTAGTCTCTGAGGCAGGATCTTCCCCATGGGTTGGTAGTCTGAAAGTAACCAATAAACATAGATACACTATTAGTCTGAGGCAGGGATCTTCCCCATGGGTTGGTAGTCTGAAAGTAACCAATAAACATACTGTAGATACACTTTTAGTCTGAGGCAGGGATCTTCCCATAGGTTGGTAGTCTGAAAGTAACCAATAAACATAGATATACTAATGGTCTCTAAGGCAGGGATCTTCCCCATGGGTTGTTAGTCTGAAAGTAACCAATAAACATAGATACACTATTAGTCTGAGGCAGGGATCTTCCCCATGGGTTGTTAGTCTGAAAGTAACCAATAAACATAGATATACTAATGGTCTCTGAGGCAGGGATCTTCCCCATGGGTTGGTAATCTGAAAGTAACCAATAAACATAGATATACTAATGGTCTCTGAGGCAGGGATCTTCCCCATGGGTTGGTACTCAGAGAGTAAACAATAAACAAGTTTGAAGAAAAAATGGTGCAGTGTGAGACTCACAATCCTTGATTTTCAAACACCTGTTATATTTAAAATTCAAATTTAAAATGCAATGTATTGGTTTCATACGTCCCGAGGAGTTGGACCCCTGTGTTTAAGTGTGAGTTTAACAATAATGTATGCTATAAAAATGGTCTTGCAAGAGACAGAATATCTCTGAATCCCATTGAACAGAAATGACTGGCATTTTTACAAACGAATAGCAAATATCATAAAACAACACACCAGAAAGGCCACCATTTTCAAAATGGTTGCTCACTGCCAAGTTGTCATCAGAAGAAATAATATGCTTTTAAGTAGCCACCTATAAAATTTTTGAAAAATCGCAGACATACATGTACTTGTAAAATAACACACATAAAAATGGTGGCCATTTTTCAAAATGGCCGACTACTCCCCAAAGTTTTACTAGACAATGTGCCATGCTTAAAGTATTCACATATCAAATATGAACAAAATCGCTCCACTACTTTTCGAGTTAAAGTAAAAAATGTAAAAATGACAGCCATTTTTAAAATGGCCACCTATACTATCCGTAGTGTCATAAGACAGTATGCAAGGCTCATGAGTATTCACATATCAAATATGAACAAAATCACTTCAGGTTGCTCATTGGTACAGATAGATTTAGTGAAAAACAATGGATACTTACCAAGGTTGCCTCTAAGAAAATTATCCAACTTAAAAATTGTATTGCTGTTGGTAAACAGAACAATATTAGTATTTACTATTTAGCTGATTCCATTCTCTGATTCTTGAAAAAGATTGTTTTTTTATGTAACGTAACAACACTCTCTGTAATTTGTATATAATTTGTTGATTTTAATAAAAAAAATAAAATAAAAAAAAATTAAACAGACATATTTACCTGTCCCAAATATTTAAAAAAAAACAAAAAAAAGAAAAAACTTCACTACTTTTCAAGTTATAGTAGAAAATGTAAAAATCTACCCAAAGTGTCATTAGCCAGTGTGCCATGCTTATAGTATTCACATATAAAATATGAAACATACCAAATATGAACAAAATCGCTCCACTACTTTTTAAGTTATAGTAAAAAACGTTAAAATCAGGCCATTTTTCAAAATGGCCACCTTCTACCAAAAGCGTCATTAGACAGTGTGCCATGCTTTTTGTATTCACATACCGAATATAAACAAAATCGCTCTACTACTTTTCGAGTTATAGTAAATTACGTTAAAATGGCGGTCATTTTTCAAAATGGCCACCTTCTACCAAAAGTGTCATTAGACAGTGTGCGTGCTTATAGTATTCACATACCAAATATGAACAAAATCACTCCACTACTTTTCGAGTTATAATAAAATATGTTAAAATGGCGGCCATTTTGAAAAATGGCCGCCTTCTACTAAAAGTGTCTTGAGACAGTGTGCAATGCTAATAGTATTCACATACCAAATATGAACAAAATCGCTCCACTATTTTTTGAGTTATAGCAAAAATCGTAAAATTACGAGTAAAGGCCGCCATTTTTCAAGATGGCTGCCATTGTGCTTCTTTAATATCTACATTTGTAGCATTATTAATGTCCTTTATAATTTTTTTACATTTAAAACATATTGCTATTCCAGTTTTACATATATTGCACCTAAATTACTGTAAAATCGGCACTAAAATGGCCATTTTGAAAATCGCTTTCGAGCAGAACTTCTACCCCCATTGGGTATATGTGTGCAAAATATGAACAAAATCGGGCCAATGGTATTTGAGTTATTGCCCGGACGGACAGACGGACGGACGGACGGAGGCGTTCACTATATCCCTCCGAACTTCGTTCGATTGGATAATTAGACATCAATAGTTTGTTATTCCATTAATGTGAGTGAGGAATATAACAGTGAATATTAAATTATTTAATTCTATTTTCGGTGAATATCTGTGACACTTTCCATGAAGCCTGAAGAGCTAATGGAATATCATCTTGTGAAAGATTCACATCAATAGAATTAAACATTTGTATAACATTTATATAATTAATAGTGACAACTCCCTTGAATCCCCTATACTGGTGTGCCTCAGTTAGGAAATGTTACTGAAAATGCAACTGACCTACATGAGGAATCCTAACATAGCCTTGTCTAACCATACTTAATCAGCTGCCAACTTGCAATGTAATTACATAGACAGAAGTTAGTTACTATATTAGAGCTTATACTATGTGTTCATATTAAATTAATATTGCCTTATGTTATTGTTAATTTAAAGAGATCATCATATCACATGGACTGCTCTTGGAAACATTTTTTCAACTTTCACTACCTCCATTCTACTAATTCTACAGTGTACATAAGGCTGTGTATTAAGTACAAACCATGCAATGTTCATGGTCATCGTGTTTTTAACATCACGGCGCAGTACTATGCATGCAGTTTGAAACACAGACAAACTGCCCGCACATCTACACTACATAATGCAAGTTGGAGTCTCACATCATTTTAAGACATTTATTCTGCATTGTTTTATAGTTTCATATGTCCATTCGATGGGGATCATATGATTCTACCATGTAATAGCGAAAACTATGTCAGATGAAAGTAGATTTTAAAATATAAGCAGATTAATCAACCATGCAAGTTGAAGTCTCACGTCATTTTAAGACATTTATTCTGCATTGTTTTATAGTTTCATACGTCCATCCCATGGCAATTATATGATTCTACCATCACGCCTTACCATCGCGTAAGCAGGCGTCACCGTACAGCGTCAAAAAATAGCGGAGTACAGTTTTCTGTACGGTAACGCAAATTAACTGCTTTGAAGCAAAAACTATGACAAGGGTTTTAAAAAATTAATTTGATGAAAACTAATACGATTTCATGTGAAATAAAAACAGCATTCTCTTAGAAATGGTTTTAACTTTCTGATTATGATAAACGTTTTACGAGCACTGTTCGGATTTTTTCTGAGTGAATCGGCCCACATAATCGACCAGAGTGAAAAAAGGTTGTTTTTTCACATTTTGTTTGGTTATTATTTTCCCTACCGTCTGAGAGTATGGATTATTTTTATGAGAATATGTATTTGTTACTTACACATTTTAGAACGGGCGAAGATTCAGCAAACAACCATTCAATATGTATTTTTAAAAAAGATCAAAGGACGGGTGTCATTAAGGCCCCATTTTAGCCCCCAAAGATATCTGATAATAATGCATATCATATTGAAGAAAAATCATTTGTGCTTTATAAAAATACAATTTCAGCGAATTTTGACCTTTGATGTTCACACAACAGTCATTTAAAGATCATATACCATTTTTGGTGTTTTTACAAAAAATTCTTTATTTATTGTTGTCTAAGTAAATAGTATATACATATTAACCAATTTAAATATATTAAAATGTAATATATGAAATACTGAAGAAAAGGTACGATTAAAACTATGTTCATGGAAAAGCACATAGGGCAATATTGACAAAATGCAAATGCTATTTTGGTAGGTTCTGGGCTAGCAATGAGTACATTTCAACTGTGACTGTAATGGATTACTATTGACTTTTATCAACATCACAGGGCAACATTTAAGCAACTTAAATACAAGGAAAATCAAAGATTTCCTCTCATTTCTAAAAAGAGGAACAAAAGCATGAATTCAAGGAAAATAAGTGATGGCCTGTGCCAAAATATATAACATATGAGAAAGTTGTGGCACAG